ATCGGTCCAAACCGGTCCAGTTCGGGTTTTGGACCGATTTTTCGATCCGGTCCGGGTTTGGTCCTTGCTTAATCGGTCTGGTCTATTATTCATTTTTTCGGTCCGGTCCGGTCTGATCTTGGACTGAAGAATAGCCCTAGTTACTATGCTCAATATGATACTCCCTTCGTACATATTACTCGCAACAAAGGAATAATTTATGTCTCACGAATAATACCCCTTTGTTGCGAGTAATTCGTAACGGAGGAAGTACTTTTTTTTTTGTGTTTAGAAAGCCACAAGGACGGGTGATGAGAATCGATACTAAGATCACCTAAAAACGTAAGGAAAGCTCTAACCACTTGAGATATCCCTCACTCTCTACTCAATATGATACTACATGTCCATGATACACACTTGTTATATGTAAGATCGACAAATGCAATTTGAACCCTACATCGGCTATAAATCTCTTATCTAAAGAAATTTAAACAATAATGAAATCAATGCAGGATAATTTTTAAGAAATTTAATGAATGAACAAATGCCTTTCTGTTTCTTCAACAATAAATTGGATTGAAGTTTATATTAAGAGATTTAAATTGCGTGACTAATATTTCAAGACTACATTGCAATTCGAAACCTCTAAAATTTCTAAAAAAAACGTGGATATTAGCCTTCAATTTTGGAATTTTTTGACTTTTTTTCACACATAAAAAAATTGCCAAAATGTTTACCATGATCCCTAATAATCTCCGAAAGTCCGATTGGCTGGGTGAAACCATCCAATTTGCCTTTAAACAACCAATTTACCGATTTACAACTTGCACCGATTTCATTAACTCAAGCTTACCACGAACATTTATGACAACATATAATGATCATATAAGGATCCAAACGACATTATATGACCCTCAGATGTATCCCCTAAAATCTCAAGCCTTTTCATCAACGAGCCCCGAAACCTCGAAAATTTCTCAAAAAGCGTGGATATTAATCTTGAATTTAGGAATTTTTTGACTTTTTTCCCCAAAAATAAAAGTTGCCAAAATGTTTACCATGGTTCCTAATACCCTCTAGGAGTCCAATTAGGTGGTTGGAACCATCCAATTTGCCTTTAAAGGGCCAATTTACCGATTTACAACTTGCATCGATTTCTTTAATTCAAGCCTACCACGAACATTTATGACAACATATAATGATCATATATGGTTCCAAACGACATTAGATGACCCAGAGATATATCTCCTAAAATCTCAAGCCTTTTCGGCACCAGGCCCCAAAACCTCCAAAATTTCTCAAAAAGCGTGGATATTAGACTTCAATTTTGGAATTTTTTGAATTTTTTTCGCCCAAAAATAAAAATTGGCGAAATTTTTACCATGGTCCCTAATACCCTCTGAGTGTCCAATTGGGTGGGCGGAACCATCTAATTTTTCTTTAAACAGCCAATTTACTGGTTTACAACTTGCAACGATTTCATTAACTTAAGCCTACCACGAACATTTATGACAACATATAATGACCATTTATGGTTCCAAACTCCATTATATGACCCCGAGATGTATCCCCTTAAATCTCATTTCTTTTCGACACCGGGCCCCGAAACCTTCGAAATTTCTGAAAAAAGCATGGATAATTAGCCTTCAATTTTGGAATTTTTTGACTTTTTTTCGCACGGAAATAAAAATTGCTCAAATGTTAACTATGGTCCCTAATATCCTCTGGGAGTCCCATTGGTTGGGTGGAACCATCTAATTTGTCTTTAAACGGCCAATTTACCGGTTTACAACTTGCACCGATTTCATTAATTCAAGCCAACCACGAACAATTATGACAACATATAATGATCATTTTTGGTTCCAAACGGAATTATATGACCCTGAGATGTATCCCCTAAAATCTAAATTCTTTTCGATACTAGGCCCCGAATCCTCCAAAATTTCTCAAAAAGCGTGGATATTGTTGAAACCCATTGTAGCCCACTTATGAGTGTCCCACATTGGAGAAAGAGGAGAGATGGTTTCACTTTATAAGGTAGAGAAGTACCTCCTACTGTTGCCAATTGGTTTTAGTATGGAAGCTCCAAAGCCTTGTTTGTGGACCAAACTCTCCTCCTCCTTGTTCGGGTTGCCCAGGCCCATTTCATATTATTTCGAAATTTAACAATTAGCCTTCAATTTTGAAATTTTTAATTTTTTTTCGCCTGGAAATAAAAATTAAAAATTGCCGAAATTTTTACCATGATTCCTAATACCGTCCGGGAGTCCTATTGGGTGTGTGGAACCATCCAATTTGCCTTTAAACGACCAATTTACCGGTTTACAACTTGCACCGATTTCATTAACTCAAGCCTACTACGAACATTTATAACAAGAAATAATGATCATATATGGTTCTAAACAACATTATATGACCTCGAGATGTATTCCCTAAAATTTCAAGACTTTTTGACACCGGGTCCCAAAACCTCCAAAATTTCTCAAAAAACATGGATAAGTCTTCAATTTTGGAATTTTTTTGACTTTTTTCGTCCAGAAAAAAAAAATGCCAAAATTTTTACCATGGTCCCTAATACCCTTCGGGAATCCAATTGGGTTGGTGGAACCATCCAATTTGTCTTTAAACGGCCAATTTAATTACCGGTTTACAACTTGCACGTATATCATTATTAACTCAAGCCTACTACGAACATCTTTTTTTTTTTTTTGACAGCTGAACTACGAACATCTATGACAACATATAATGATCATATATGGTTCCAAATGGAATTATATGATCCAGAGATGTATCCCCTAAAATATTAATACTTTTCTACACCAGGCCCCGAAACCTCCAAAATTTCTAAAAAACCGGAATATTATCCTTCAATTTTGAAATTTTTTGATTTTTTTACGCTCGAATATAAAAATTGTCGAAATGTTTACCATGGTACCTAATAACCTCTAGGAGTCCAATTTGGTGGGTGTAACCATCCAATTTGCCTTTAAATGACCAATTTATCGATTCACTACTTGCATCGATTGCATTAATTCAAGCCTACCACGAACATTTATGACAACAAGTAATGATCATATATGGTTCCAAACGGAATTATATGACCACGAAATGTATCCTATAAAATTTCAAGACTTTTCGACAATGGGCCCTGAAACCTTCAAAATTTCTCAAAAAAGGTGGATAATTAGCCTTCAATTTTTGAATTTTTTTGACTTTTTTTACCCGAAAATAAAAATTGTCGAAATATTTACCATGGTCCCTAATACCCTTTGGGAGTCCAATTAGGTGGTGAAACCATTCAATTTTCTTTTAAACGGCCATTTAACCGACTTACAACTTCCACCGATTTACCGGTTTACAACGGCCAATTTAATTAACTTGCACCGAACCCGACTTGAACCGAAATTGACCCAAACCCGTTTTAACCCGTCAAAACCTGAATTTAACAAGACTTGTTACCATCCTGACCTGACTTCAACCCGACCCGTTCCTAACCCGATCCGAATTTAACCCAACCTGTTACAAACCCGACCCGAAATCAACCCGACTTGTTATTGACCTGACCCAAAGAAAACCCAACTTGTTATTGACCCGACCCAAATTTTACCATACCTAATACTTACTCAATCCAAAAATTCAACCTAGTCTGTTATTAACTCGACTCGAAATTAACACAACTTGTTATTGACCGGACCTAAATTCAACCCAAATTGTTCCTTAATTACCCGATTTCAAATCACCTTAAATGCAATTTAGACCACCTTATTATTGTTGATCAAAGCATTTTGTCTTGAGAGACCAAGTCGGTCCCGGCTTGCAAAGAAAGGAGCATCATCCTCAAATTTAAGAGTTAAATATAGTATATATTTGTTGTATGATCAAAGGAGATAATTATCTTCCTAAATTATAGACTATAGTTCCCTAGTATATTGTCATATGTATTAGTCAAAGGAAATAATTAGCTTGATAAAAATGATAATTATCTATTTATAGTTAGTTGAACCCGAATATGACCTGACTTGGAAATGACCCGACCTAATTGTAACCTGCAAATTATTGACTTGAACATAACCCGACTTGAAAATGACCCAATAACCTGATTATAACCCGCAAATTATTGACTTGAACCGAACCCGACTTGAACCCGAGAATGACCCGACTTAAAAATTACCCGACCTGATTATAATCCGCAAATTATTGACTTGAACCGAACCCGACTCGAACCCGAGAATTACCCTACCCGTTTTCACCCATGAAAACTCGAATTAAACCCGACCTATTGTACACCCGACTCGAATGTAACCCGACCCAAATCCGATAAGAAGTATGACTCGACGGGACCCAACTCAAGCATGACCCAACCCAAACCCGACCCGCATAGGTTATGGAATTAATCTGAATTGACCCGACCCAAGTTGACCCGACCCATTCTTACCCAACCCAAACCCGACCCGTTTACTCGAATTGACTGCTCTACATTGCATGAAGCCATGAACTATAAAAACTTAAAAAGTTGGATTTATTACAATAGTCTTTAAATTTAATCGTTTTTTTATATAATATGGTTGATAATTATTTTCGCACAAATTTTCATTGTATGTCACATTATAGTGCGCATTGTTAATAAAATTAAGCTTGGTATTGGGTAGTTGAGATTAAAGTTGTACAATTTAATAGCATGAAGAGTTTACGTCATGTTAATAATTTATGTTAAAATTTTCTTAAATTAAAATTATACTCATTCATCATTTGATCAACATTTTAAAATTAGTAGATGAAGAATATGCATGCAATTGTATTGGATCACAATGACGCGGTACCCTAATTCAACTTAATAATTATTCTCCATATAATTTGATGCCACTAGGTTAGACACACGTTATTATGTAATTAATGTAACAATCGTATAACATAATTTTAAATACAATTTCTAAGGTGGTGGATATGTATTCCATCCCTACTTCCAAATACTATATATAACGGGCATATCTCCTCATTATATTTCATCAAATTAAGTTTAAGCATCTCATCATACAAAATTTAAGCTAAGATAAGAAGAATTAGAAAATGGCAGAAAATAGGAGCTTGATGATTTTTAAGGTTGTTATAATGTTAAGTTTATCAACGGGTGCTCTTGGCTATCGAACTGGTGGTTTACGTGCTTTCTACTTTGTGCAACAGGTACATTTTTCATGTTGGTTTTTATCTTTTGCACTATTTGATACGAGGTAGTAACATTCTTTAATTTACACATTATTACGAGTATTATTTTTTCAAGTTGGTGTGCCCTATTGAACTCGTTAATTCATACAGTGGCTAGGATCATACTGTAACCAAAGAGGGACAAAATGTTGCGACCCACCAACCGGGAAGCCAAAACCAGATTTTACAATATATGGGCTATGGCCTTACTACAACGATGGTAGTTTCCCCTACAACTGTGGCGATGACAATTATGATGTTGGCCGGGTAAATCTTCTACACTAATGCATGCAATTAATCCTATTTAACCAATTCAATAATGATCATTTTGTGCAATTCTATAATTTTTTTTTTTGTTTAATTAAACCATTGACCGGATTAAAAATAATATTGACTTGCATGTTAAATTAAAAAGTACACCAAAAAATTTAGGTACACAAAAGTTAATGCTTAAGTCAAATTGAAGCCTAGATTAGTAGATTGACTAATTAGTTATAATTCTTATTTTAAATTCTAATTAAACTTTAATTTCTCTTAATTAATGTATAGATTAAGTTCATGGAGAAGAGGCTACAAGAATCATGGCCAACATTTACATGCCCACAAATCGGAAGGAAATTTTGGGTGCATTTGTGGAATAAGCATGGTACATGCACCAAAGACATTCTAGGTGAAATTGACTACTTTGAGGGTGCCTTGTACCTTAAGAAGAAGGTTAATATCTTACAAGCCCTAGCAAGGTATGGGATCCGACCGGATAATCGATTTTACCCTCTCAAGACCATCAAGACCGCCATTGCTAGAGCCACCGGGTTTCATCCATGGATTGTTTGTAACACAAATGCTCAAGGTAACAAGCAAATTTGGCAAGTCACTCTATGCTCCGATAAATCGGGGAAGAAACTCATCCAATGCCCTTACCTTCCTAGTGGACGTGGTAATTGCGACAACAATATCCAATTCTCTTCCTATTATTAATCAAGAAATTAAGACAATTAATTAATTGTGGTTAGTTATTACTTCAATTGTTTTGAAGTATAATTAGTATTAAGCTACCACAATTCCTATTGTCAATTATATTACTTTAAGATGTAATTCCCTTATTAATTATGTACTTTATTTCATCGTATAAGTTCAATAATATTCAACTAAAGTGTATCTCAATCTCTGAGACATTATGTTTTAGATTGTAGTACTCCGAAATATATTACCCTGTTTTTAAATAAACAAGTTAAGTCAACCTATGTGATTGTGAATTTGTGATCCTTATATTAAACAAAATAAAGATGATCTATTGTTATCATAATTTTTGAATGACGCTCAAACATGATTATTAATTAACATGAACAAAGTCGAAACTTATTAGATCAATCTGGTACAAAATCAATACAGTTCAATACGGAAAATAAATAACATGGCCTTGTACTATTTCGAAAACATGTAGAATTAGGGTTGTGTACAGGGAAAAATATTGTGTAGAACGGACTCACGTGAGTCCGTTCTATTATAAGGCTCGCGCGCGGCCCGGTTTTATATTCTTCTTCAATTCTTATTCTTCTTCATCTCTATTGCTTTCTTCTGCAAACCTTCAACCATGAAAGGACTCTCAACAATGGCGGCGACTTTCTCAAATTTCAATTCTTCGTCAAGAACTTGTATGACTTGTACTAATTTTCTGCACTGATGTTCCCAAATAGAAGCTTGGCTGCTTTATTGGTAAATATGGTAATATGAAGCGGAATATACTCTATCTGAGTCATCCTATACATATAGCTGTATTTTACAAGAATAGTCCATTAAAAAGCATTCATACAACTTGAATTGCATTATGTGCAGTAAAATTTCATTATCTGACCAAGCTTTTTAGAGTATATCGGAGTAACATGTTTGTTGAATATTTGATACTCCCTCGGTTTTTTAATATTTTTCGAGTACGGAGTATTAGATTTATTTTGTTTGATAATAAGTTATATTAGTCAGGTATTATATTTATTTTGTCTGATAATAGATTATATTCGTCAGGTATTAGATTTATTTTGTTTGGTAATAGGATATATTGGCCAGGTATTAAATTCATTTTGTTTGATAATAGGATATATTGGTCAGGTATTAGATTTATTTTATTTGGTAATAGAATATATTGGTTAGGTATTAGATTTATTTTGTTTGATAACAGGTATAATGGTCAAGTATTAGATTTATTTTGTTCGGTATTAGGATATATTGGTCAGGTATTAGATTTATTTTGTTTGGTAATAGGTTATATTGGTCAGGTATTAGATTTATTTTGCTTGGTAATAGATTATATTGATCAGATATTATATTTATTTTGTTTGATAATAGGTATATTTGGTCAGGTATTAGATTTATTTTGTTTGATAATAGGTATATTTGGTCAGGTATTATAGTTATAATGTTTGATAATAGGTATAATTGGTCAGGTATTAGATTTATTTTGTTTGATAATAGGTATATTTGGTCAGGTATTATAGTTATAATGTTTGATAATAGGTATAATTGGTCAGGTATAACAATGCCCGAAATATCTTTAAGGATAGTGAGCTTTTTCCTTTCAGCCAATGTAATACCAATCAAACTAAACGAGCAGTATTAGGTACTGTTGGAAGAGCTCTTGTACTGACACAACAATCTGCTTCAACCGTTAAATGCTCAAATCTTCCTTCTACTGTTGGAAGTTTAATTCCTATCCTGTTTTAGTAATAATTAAGATAAGATTAATCATAAATGCTTAAATTAATAAATAAATAAAAATTAAACAATAAAGTTAGTAACAAGGCAACTGTTACTTTGTTTATTAAATTTTCCGCCATTGTCGTTCTGGTTTCAAGTGATACCAGATTTTTGATCCAATTTTCTCTCTCCTATAACTTCATTTTTGGTGTAGGAGAGAGAAAGGTCAGAGTATTAAAGAATCGGTAGTCTCTCGATCTAGACTTGGAAGCTGGTCTTCGAAGCTCAACCTCCTTCTTCTGAGTATCAACAACAGCGAAGAACAAGCCATGAAAATGGAGGTAGACACGGTACTAATGCGGAGTTGGTGTCGCGGGCCTCGCAATCGGGTTTAGTCAGCCCGCGCCTTTTTGTTGGCCTTTTATTGTTGAGCCCGGTCTCACGTGAGTCCGGTCTCACACAAAACGCTTTGTGTGTACAGAATCAAATTTAACCTAACCAAAAGACCAAATTCTTTTAGTAAGGACTACGTATTGGAAAATTGTGATTAGCATTCTATATATACCAAGCATGATGATCGATAAGATACGACTAATGTTAGTATTTTAACTAAAAAACTATAAAAGTGCATAAGTAGTTATAACTTATACTTTTGCTAAAATTAAATTGACAACCTTGAATGTATAGACTATATAATATATTAATCCAACTAGCTACTCCACTTGTTTGATCTTTCCTTCCATTTTCAGCTTTTGAATGTCTCCTTTTAAATTAGCTATCATATTTTTTTTCTTCAACTCAAGGAGAATATGGGATTACTCCAATATCAACCAAAAGAATATACTTTGTAATACACAAATTCACTCCAAAATTAAATAGATCAATTGCGGATTCTTCCAAGTTCCTATATATTCCCCCATTTCTAGAATGGTTGACTGTATATATTTTGACTTTTTACATTAAGTCAATTCAGCTTTGCATGTCAATGCCTGAGAGTAGAGCTAGGGAGAGGTAGGGATATCCCCCTAATTTCAAACAAATGTAGTTGGGGTTCGAACTCATAACCTCAAACTAACAAAGTGAGTTATAGGATGAATTTTTGCACTACGGTTTTTGACTAATGTACTTTGTACTAACCGATACTTTTTTTTTTTGAAACATATCACTAACCGATATTTAAACCGCTAACCAACCCATAAATATGGAAATGAAGGTAGCAATTACGGAATAAGGGCAAAAAGTTGTGTCTCTCTCGACGGAGACTGGGAACCCAGGCCAGGGCTGCATAAGTTAAGAAAAAAAAAATCTGTTCAGCTCATTAACAGATGAAACGTATTATTGGGCCAATTGAAACCCATGTTGTGAACATATTGGGCCAATTGAAATCCATGTTGTGAACATATATTGGGCCTTGTTCCTCGACCTAATTTCACTAGTTTAGGAATTAGTGGGCGTGGTTTGATACTTTGCATTGATTGTCTTGGATATTTGGGTTGTCCAAATTCTCTTACAAATATGTACACTTGTAATATAACAGCTTTATATATCTTCATAACAGTTGTGGTCTTCAAACATGTCTTAGTTTTTAAACATAAACTTATCTCGATTTATGTAATAATTATAAAAATGTGATATTTAAAAGTTGATAATGAATTGAATTTAAGAAAATCAATGTGATATTTAAAAGTTGATGATAAAACAAATTTAAGAAAATCTCACACGACTATAGTATTTCTCATATACTATTACTAATGATATATGGTGATCAAAGTTATAAATATTAATTATCTGCAATAGAGCAAACACAAAATGATAGTGGGAGCAGAGTATCTTTTAAAGTTTTATATCTTCAGGTAGCCTTTCTAGATCAGCCACTATCATCAACAACAAGTCCAATGTCCTAATGTTTTTCTACGACAACTTAGGATTTGTCCCATTCAGCTTAATTTTAGTTCAGTTAAATTTCTAATTTCCTTCTCTCATAAACAATTCATTTTAGCTTAATTCATTTCAGTTCATTTCGCTTATTTCACTAAATCAAACAGACCCTTATTTTATAAAAATAGCATTGTTAAGTGCCGAAGTGGTAAGGTACGTAGTTTTGAGTTTTCACTTTCTACACATATTTTTTCGTGTGACTCAATTATTTGAGTTTTAAAATCCGCACACTAGAAGAATTTATTTTTATTTTGACAATATTAGAATTTATTTTTATTTTGACAATATTGTGAGAAATCACTCTAAGAGAAATAACACTTGTTTTTAGTACGTTTGATTAAAAATCAAATTTGGTTAAGTTATTGCAAATTGCCACGGCCAAAGCCATAAAACTCCTGGTTTGGAATTTTGGAAACCATAGGCAGTGATTTGGCCGACATGTTCCTCAGTAGAGTCAAAAGTTGGAAATTACGTTTCGCACTTAGATTTTGATAAAAAAAAAAAAAATTAAATAAATAAAAAATACTTCCACCACAATTAAAGACAAATTAAAGCACAATAATAATCGTGTAATGATAGTTTGTTGGGTAATCCTCACATGATTATTACAAATTACTAATCCTTTTACATGCACGTGTCTATTACTTATTGTGTGTTCAATTCACCTGATTTTCACTTATCTATAGTTATTACAGTAAAATTTATTTTTGTGGTAATTTGTACATGGTTAACCCTTATTAATTACTAAACTAAACTTATATGAAATTGTAAAATTTGAATTAAATTAAGTGAAAATAAGGTGAACAAAATAAATCCTTATCTCCCAAGCCCTTACTTAAGGTGAATACTTATTTTATTTTAATCTTCAATTCACAACTACACCAAACTTTTATGTAAAATTTGAAGTTCAATTAATTATATAAGTTTGATTATGGGAAATTAAGTTTGGATAAGGTTTTTTTTTTTAACTCTTGACAATTTGACATAGAGTTTAGACTAATATGTCAATTTTATGTACTCCCTCCGTCTCCGAAAGAACGATCTATTTGGCTTAATTTTAGTCTTAAAAGAATGATCCAATTATTTTTCCCAATTTCTATTCATTTCCCTTCCTTTTAAAAGTGTCAGCTTGGCAGTGTTGTGTATTTTAATTATATTGGTTGTTGTAAAACAATACTCCGTACTTTAAACTTATTGGCTAATAAAACATCACATGGATTAGTGCATTATTACATCATGTTTATTGTATAGGATAAAGATAAAAACTTAAATGTAGGACTTTCTCTCTCTAGATATTAATTGCAAACTATTGTTGATTTCTGTTTTCCCATACATTTGTACTTACAAATTAAGTTTCTTATTACCTGCGAAATCAATCTAAATGGATCCTTCTTTGGGAGACGGAGGGAGTACATAGTAAAATACTTTATAAGTGAAAAGAATGCGAGCCAGCCTAATTTAAGGCTTTATGTTGCACCTTTTTTTTTTTTTTGACAAACTTTTTGTGGGGGGAGGAGATCAGAAGAGATTTATAATTTATATAAAAAGGCACTTTCATATATAAAAAATATAGTTTTTTAACCAATAAAAAAAAATCTAGTAAAAAAAAATAATAAATAAATAAATTTTCTCTTTCTTTAAATTATATTGCACTTGTATGTACGGAGTATAAATTTAAAAAACAAACAAAATTATTTTAAAATGAATCTACAATTATCATTTTATATATTTATGATAGCATAATTACATTATACATTGAGGTAAAAAAAAATGCCCAAGTTTAACTGAAACGTAAAGCTAAGGGTTTGTTCTCATACGATTATTTTCAGTTCAATTTTAATAAGTTCAGTTCAGTTCATCTCTAATAAGTTCAGTACAGTTCAGTTCAGCTCCTAATTTCTTTCTCTTATTAAATATTCAGTTCAGTTGAGTTCAGCTCTAATAAGTTCAGTTCAGCTCATTTCAGTCAATGAGAACATGCCCTAAATCATAACAATTTTTTTATAAAATTTAAAAATTGGTTTTCTAACTTTTCAATAAATTTCTCCAAAAGTCTAAAAAAAAATATTTTTATAACTTTCACTTCTATACTATTTTCTTCTATCTAACTATACATAATACATATATACTACGGAGTAGCACAGATGCACTCTAGTAATAATCCATAAGTCCATAACCCTTATAAAAGCCAAATTGGGTTGAGGTAGTTTTGCTTTGGAAAATCCTTATGAACAGTGCTAGGACGTTTTGATCAATGATGAATTGTAATTGGTATTAAAAGAGGTGTTATTGTTAAATGCCCTTTTTAGAATTTTGATGATATTTGCTTGAATTTTTATATGGGTTAGAGTTATATGAGTGTGTTTTGTGGCCTCGATGCTACTGCTTGATTCTATGGTGGCCATTACTAGGTTGCATCCGAATCGTCTGGTTGCTGCTCTGTATTAATCCGGCGGCTAATTATGGTTATTTATTGTTGTTGCTGCAGAACGGTTGCTCTTGCTGGATCCATTTGATGAGTCTTTTCCCCAAATCCATGATTCTATGTTTGTGATGTAAGCTTCCCAAACTTTTTTTTAACCCCCTAATACGAATGTCCTGACTTTCCTCTAAGCTTGATTGTTGCATCAATTGAAGTAATGCATTATTTACTTATTTATTTATCTATTTTAAAACTGAATTACTGGAACCAGCAGGGAAACCATTAAAGGAATCATCAGAACTGAAACCTTCAGGCCAAGGTTCCTTTTTAAAAAGGTTTTAGTCCAATGGATTGGGTCAAGCTTACTCGTACGCATCCTGACCTTGCAGGTTGGTTCATGTAGTATATTTTTGTTGAATTGTTGTGTATGGATGAATTTGCTTGGGGGTGTTGGGAAGCCTGATAACAGACAGGAGACACCCCACCTCTCAACCCTTTTTAATTGATCAAATACCATAACTGTGCATGCAGGCCAAGAGTTAGATGTCTTGCTTTTTGGTTATATTAAGTGATCAGGAATGCTCCTTAATGTTAATTTTTTGTAACTGTTAATATAGGATTGAATGGCCAGTCAAATAGGAGGCTTATACCTATGAGTGAAGTAAAACAACATCAATCAGAAGGCACCATGTGGACAGTTGTGCATGGACGTGTGTATAACACTTCTCCATACATGAAATTTCACCCTGGAGGTATGGACACTGTTTTTGCTGTTAGCTATGTACTTTATTTGTCTTCATTATTGTGCCCAGTTTTATCTATCTTCGTTACCATCCATATGCTATGTTCTGCCTGCTGTGAGCAATATCCTTGTTACCATCCGGAAGTTAATTTTATGTTCTGTCTGCTGACATGTTTGCATTTTAAAATTTTCTTTAATGAAATGCACACTGCTTCTGCTGTTTAAGGAATTCAATAGGGGAAAAAAACAGGGTCCATTGTATTAAACAGTAGTCAGTAGATAAAAGAATGCCACCTATGGGAATTAGTATGGGATCAGGAAGAAGGGTACAGGCTGTCAAAACCTGGAATTTGATTTAATTTTTTTTATTTTTTTTTTAATATATATGCTTAGGTGCTGACTGCTGAGTCCTGTGGTGATTTTGGAAAGAATTTCTGCTGAGTTTTATGGTGTGTTAGAAAATTATAACCTTTGCATAGATGAAATAGCAGGAACAATTAGTGTGACTTTCATAATAGATAGGATTAAACAATGGCATAATAGACAAAGGAAGACCTTATTAGTACTCTCAACCATGAAGCCTTAGCTTCCACGTGTAGCAATGCCCCCATTTATATTGCAAAAATTTTCATGAAAACTAGATACAATGAGTGATCATAAGCTTTTATCTTTAGTTGGGCTATCATTTAGTTGGCCTTAACTTCCAGGTGTTCTAAGCAATGTCCCCATTCTTATTGCTTCAGCATGTCTACCAAGTGAACCACAATAAATATGATGATTATCTATAGTCTGAGCAGTACAAGTGTACAACCATACCCTGTGTCCCTATCACCGCTTATAGCCTTCTTTCCTGTATTCACCAGAAATGAATGTGCTGGCCACTGGGTGTTGCCCGGCGGTTCTCAACTGTTCATATTTTTGTAAGGATATAAATAGCCTGAATGCATTCCCCACAAATGGTCCTTATCTGGCGAAATCTCTGGATATCATTATTTTGGCACGATGCTTTACTTTATCTAGGTTCCGTATTCCCATAGATCAAGTGTTAAATGAATTAGACTGAGTAGGTTAGAAGGCTTTCTTTTGAACCTAAAGAGGTTCGTCTTGCTTTAATGCTTTGTGGCTTTGTGCAATTGAGATGATGGTCAAGAGTGTATAGTAAGTATTATACCCAAGTACACGCCTTTTATAAATTGTTCAAGACCATTGCCAAGCAGCTAGGATAGTTGACTACTTATATAGATAAGACTTATCACAATTATGTCTTACTTGTATAGTTTCGTGGGGCCATATAATACATAGCACTCGGAGCATTACCCATCCAACATAGTCTATCTCCCTCCCTTACTCCCTTCTAAGTTATTATACTCCTGATGCATTTTAGATATTGATAAAGCTTTATCTTTATTTCTCCTTCAAACTGAGGAAAGCTCTTATCAATTAGTGCTACCCCACTCCCCAACACTAAAATAAATTTGAAGTGAAAATGATTGTTCCATCATAAAGTTATTTAGTAGTAAAATCTTAGATGACTATGTTGTCCCTTGAAAATTAGTGGCCAATGACACTGCTGTTGAAATGTTTGAGTTATATACAAAAATAACCTTTTATTTATATTTTATTTTTTTAAGATAAAGAAATAAATATTTTTGTAATTTTTCTCTTTAACTTGATGCATGGTTCAATATTAATCTTTAAACCCTAGAAATAATTATAATGTATGTCCAATAGGAAAACAATTTAATTGAATTTGATTATTATATTGATTGGAGTGGAGAAGCAAACATATAGAAATTAAAATTTTTTAAAAAACCTTTCTCTCCAAAATTTGAAGTAATAAATTCAATGTTGAAATTAATCATCATAATTTAATTTATAAGAGGATTTACATTAACAAATGGTATATAGTAGTTCAATGAATAATTAATGTATTAATATTAAGTCACCTGTGATAATTAAATAAATACAATTGCAATTCACCACCATTCAATTATATAATAAATCACTAGCTAGTACACATCGTTTTATTACGATGAAAAATATAGATGTGTCCGGTTGCATAAATAGGCTTTCGCATAATTTTTTTAACACTTATAATGAGAAATCAATTGTAAAAGCTCTATCTACGTTCATGTATATTTGGTGGTGATGTCTTTAAAAAATGTACAGGAAGAAGCCCTAGAATGGAAGAGATGCCGGAGAGCGTACGGAGCAGTTTGGGACATAGCAAATCCACCAAGGGGTCCTCTAACAGTGAGGTTCTTCTTAGATGGAAGTGTAAGTAAGAGAGCTAGATGGGTTTTGGTTCCTAAATTCATCCTTACTTATTGGCAAGCTGGTGTTGCTTATGATACTTCTATTCAACTTAAATAGATAATTTAGGGCTACTTTATTCATGTTTAATTAATTATATATATGCTGGATTCTTAATTAAGATCATGAATCATTGTATGATTTTGTGGAGCAATCCTACTTAATTAATTTTTTTTTTTGTTTTGTTTTATTTTAAAAGCCACAATTGGCATCTTTAATGAGTGAGGGGTTTGTACTTTGTATTGTATACTTGTATTGTGTGAGAACCATGCGTACTTTAAATCGTTAGTTTAATTCTGCCATGACTGTAGATCCTTGCTTTTACTTTCCTAATTTATTATTTGGCATAATATATATACAAATCATACTATTGAATTTGATTTAATATTGCACATACCAAAGTTGTATATCTCTACTAATGGGCATAATCTGAATATAAAGCATGTGATCAATATAAATTTATCATTTGATTTCCAATTTTATTTAATTTTAGGGCGAAAGCATGACATGTGAGTTTTAACTCAAATGCAAAACAATCTATGAAAAACAAGAACAACATACTTTTTATAGCAACATCCGTAAAACCCCACTTACAAGGTCACACATAGATTGTATACTTCATTTGTTTTTAGGAGTGAGAAGCTTATTTTCGATTATTGTTTTATCCTTTTTCACTTATTCGAACTCAATTTTGTCACAACATATATTATCATACAACTTTTCGGTGTAGCAAGTCACCCCGTGTGGTAGGGGTTACCCGAGTTATTTTGTTAGGGTTTATTCGAGTTATGCAGTCAGGGGTTACTTGAGTTACTCGGTCAAGAGTTACTTGTAGGGTTCAGATAGGGGTTACTCGAGAGGTTCACTCGGTTAAGGGTTATTTGAGGGATTACTCAATCAGGGATTTACTCGAATTACTCGGTCAACGGTTACTCGAGGAGTTTCTCGGTCATGGGTTACTCGAGTTACTCGGTCAGGGGTTACTTGAGTTACTAGGTAAGGGGTTATTATAGGAGTTCGGTCAGGGGTTATTTGAGTAATTCGATAAGGGTTACTTAAAGAGTTCGATCAAGGGTACTCGGTTAGCGGTTACTTGAGGGTTCATTCAGGGGCTAGTTGAAGAATTACTCAGTCTAAGGTTAGTTGGTCAGAGATTACTTAAGATAGAGGAGGAGAGGAAGGGGAGATGGAGAGAAAGGTAAAGAGAGGTAGAGAAACAAGGACCAAATCGAAAAAATCATCGAGAGAGAGAAATAGAACTAGGAAAGTGAAGGGTTTGAAAAGAAAGACAAAGAGAGGCTAAGAGATAGGGCAGACCGAAAGATAGAGATTCCAGTTCAAAAGAGATAAGGGGTAGGATAGAAGAAGGGATAAAGGCCTAGAGAAAAAAAATTAAAAAAAAATGGGAGAGATAGAAATATGGGTTATGAAGGAAAGAGGATGAGATAGAAAGAGGCTTAAAAAAAGATATAGGGACAGGAGAAATGCAAGGGGTTGGAAGAGAAATAAATGGTGTGATAAATAGGGAATATAACTAAGAGAAAAGGATAGAGAAAGAGTATATGATATAATAATAAAATAAACGAAGGAGAAGGCTCGAGGGAGAGAGAGGGAGTAAGTGCGACCTATAATTTCCTATTATTGTTTTATCTTTTCTCACTTATTTGAACTCGATTTTGTCACAACATATATTATCAAACAACATTTTGGTGCTGTAAGCCACACTGTGTGGCAGGGGCTACCCGAGTTATTTTGTTAGGGGTTATCCGAGTTATGCAGTCAGGGGTTACTCGAGTTACACAGTCATGAGTTACTTGTGGGGTTCCGATAGAGGTTACTCGAGAGGTTCACTCGGTTAAGGGTTACTTGAGGGATGACTTGATCAGGGGTTACTCGAATTATTCGATAAAGGGTTACTCGAGGATTTACTTAGACATGGGTTACTCGAGTTAGTCGTTCAGGGGTTACTCGAGTTACATGGTAAGGGGTTATTTAAGGAGTTCGGTCAGGGGTTACTTGGGTAATTTGGTCATGGTTACTTAAAGAGTTCGGACATGGGTTACTCGGTTAGCAGTTACTTAAAGGTTCATTTAGGGGTTAATTGAAGAATTACTTAGTTCGGGGTTAGTCAGTCAGGGTTACTTAAGATAGAGGAGGAGAGGAAGAGGAGAAGGAAAGAAAAGGAAAAGGAAGTAGAGAAACTAGGGCCAAAATTTTGATGATATTTTGGAAAGATTTAAAGGTTAGTCTATTTTGGGAGAATGGAGCAAAGATTGGTTTGTTGTTGTTAAATTTTCCTTTACAAAAATTAAGCTAGCATGTACAATTCATAAAAACTAAGCTAAATAACTAACTTATACGTCTTGCTAATAATTTTTTTAATAAGCTTCACAAACTGGTGCGCGCGCAACGCGCGCGGTGCAATCGGACTAGTAACGGAAAAATCCAATCTTTAGATAAGTTCAAGGATATGTTATTTGGATATTGTAGTAGATGATGTTGTACAGGTGGTGCAACACCAATAGTGGATTTATAACTTTGACAACAACCAAAAAAAAAAAAAAAAAAGAAAAAAAAGTGAAAGTTGTCTGCTGATGAACTTGAAAAAGCACGCAACAAAACATATCCTTTACACCTTTACAATAGGCAAACCCCAATTTAAGAAAAGAGATAATCATTGTGTCTTGTTTTAAGTTTAGTGTAAGTTTAAACATCCCCTTCAAAGAAAAAAAGAAAATAGTTTTAATTTGTTTAAATATATTTCCTCATTATCATATATACTTTACAAATTGTATCAATAGCCAACAAATTTAATGATGAAGACCTTTTTCCGTTGGACGTTATGTTACATACAAAGTACAAAATGCTACGGATTCCCTAACTTCCATTGAATAATAATTTAACAGCAACTTGATTTGCAAAATTAGAAATTTAGGAGTTTAGGTAACAAATGGGGTTTAACTACTTCTTACAAAATATTGTGTTAGGGCCTGTTCTCTTACGTTGAAATTCAGCTCAGTTCAGTTCAGCTCAGTTCAGTTCAGTTCAGTTCAGCTCCTAATTTCCTTCTCTTATAAAATATTCATTTCAGTTCAGTTCAGTTCAGCTGACTTCAGTCAATGAGAACAGACCCTTAGAGGTATAACTTTTATGTTACTGGGTTTCCTGTTGCCAACGGCCCAAGCCTGGATAAAACAGGAGGGTTACAGTAGACCATTAACAGCCCATGTAAAACTTTATCACATCGCTTGACATGAGGCAGATGATTAAGAATAGTACTAGAATGGATGACCTCCGGGTAATCTTCATGTTGGTTTATTTAGCTACCATCACTTATGAGATTAATCGATTAAGGCATTCAAGCAGAAGAAGAAATTACTACTCCAATTTATCCATTCAAATATTCCCTCATCATGCATCCATTCAATTATCAACTTTACTTTTTATTCTTATGCATGTTTCATGGTCGTCATAGACTTCTAGAGTAGAATAACCATGGTTTTCAATAATTAAAATTATCACTTATTTAAAGAAAAAATTTCATTTTATTTTATTTGAAACAAGGAAATTAAAAATTGTCAGCTTTTGACAAGAATTATGAATTTAATTTATGCAAGGAATCATCAATTTTGAGTTATGTTGACCAATTAATTAGGAAAAGTTGCAATCATAGAAACATCCAATGAATACAGTACGTACAATTTTTCACTTCCTAGGCTCCTAATTCAACATTTGCCCAAGGAAGGGAAATGGAAATAAATAAATATTGTTACATACTAAAATACAAAATAGATGGGAAAGAAAAAGAAAAAAAAAACGTCCAAGCAACCGTGGAGTCAAGGCATCTCATGAGGAGGTGTGACCATCATATTCATATTGATGCTTACTTTCATGATGTGTGCTGCAACGAGAAGGACATACATGTATTATTTATTTGGTGAGAGGGTGAATAGGGAGCAAAACAAAACAATTTTTTTTTTTAATTTTAATTTTATTTTTAATTAATTAATTTATTTATTTATTGTTGCCATTGATGATGCAATTTAAATCATATATGTGAGTGCATCATACAATTGAACTTGTTGCTGTGGATCTAGATTCATCCCTTTTAAAATTCGGTAGGATTCCGTCCTGATTCTACAAAGAACCATCCTTAAACATATAAAGTCATTATAGAAGCATGAACAACAAATCATGGAAACATAGATTTCAATATTATTCCTTCGTTTTTTTAGTTGACACATTTCTTCTTTCATCTTTGCAAAGACACTAAATTAATGATCAATATATCTAATTATCAATAAGTAAAATTATAAAAAAGTGATATTAAGAAAATATATTTTGAGTTAATTCAAACAAGACTCCAAATGAATATATTTTGTCTTAAATATAAATCACATAAGCTACTCAAAATAAGATTTATGAATAGTATTAAAAGTCAAAACATGTCCACTAAAAAAACGGAAGAAGTAGTTTTTGAGAAATTATTCCTTTTGCTCTTGTTTGATTGCCCAAAAAAATATTTGCACATGATTTATTCTAGTGAAAAAGTAAAGAAAAACAATAATAGAGCAAGTGTGAGACACAACTCTAGAGTAAACCGTAAAAAAAAATTCCATACAAAATTATGGCAAGTAATGTGTTGGGAAAATACATGTTGATTCCAAGGAAAATAAAGAAGAACTATAGCACTTTCCTGATCAAAGATATGTCCTTCAACTGTTGTGCTGTGGTTTGGGACTCACTGCCTTAGAAGCAAAATACGTCCCCACCAGTATATATATCTTAGTGACACATGGCCCCTAAGTTTTCGCAACGAAATCCATTATTCGTGAACTCGGACTCGAAGGTTAATTGGAATTGCTCAAGAACTGTTCAAATCATAAAGGGTTGGTTTGTGTTTGATGTATTTAGAGTTATTCAAAAGCCATATCATTGAAGAAGCCCCTGTATGTATATATTAAGTTCATGTTGAAGAATAAACCTTTAGAGTATCACCACATGTAAAATGTTCCACATTACTTGAAGAAGAGAGAGTTAATCACTTTATAAGGTTAATGGGCTACTCCTGCTATTGCCATATGATTTTGGGATAGAACCCCCTTTGGACTTGTAAAGTGGACTCTCTCTCTTGGTTGACGAACTGAGTAGATAGATTCGTATGCAAAGTTACACGACCGTGTAAAGTAAGGTACACAACCACTTATATTACATGGTCGTGTAATACAAGGTACACGACCATGTACGACAATAATGAGTGTTTAACTAAAGAGTTACTCGGACGGATGAACCAATCTGCTGATTAAATATGAGATAAAATCTTTCTAGTTGAATTACTAAGTCCAACAAATTGAGACATCACAAACAAGTAAAACCCATTCCAGCCAACCCTGCTCCCTCTCTAGGTAACCCTTTTCCCACCACCACATTCTTCCTCTTTTTTATGGCAAATATGGTTCACAATTTAAATAGGTACCCTGATAATGCACTTCTTAAGTTCTTATGAATATAAAAATTTAATTTCTTTTGACTAATTTAAAATAAAGAAAAGTCATACGGATTAGCTTAGTTTACTTCAATTGCTAAAAAATTATTTCTTTTGGGAGAGAAATAATATTGCAAGTCATATATGTACGGATAGTTGACAACTAACTTTAATTATATTATACAAGTATTAAAAAAAAATGGATAAAGGGCAAATCAAATCATCATATCATATCATACCGCTAATATATAAAGCTAAACTTTTAACCAGTCTACGACATTGCGACACTTGACGTTCTAACTTTTCGTCAAGTATCGCGCTATGTTGAATATATTTAGATAGATTTCATAGGATAAAAAAAATTAGTTTAAATTTTATTTTCAATCAAATTTGGATAGAATTTTAGGATAAAATTGTTAATTGAGAGTTTTAGTTTCGATAAAATATCAATAATTCATATGTATAAATTGAATTATAATTTTATTCAAAAAAATATTAGATTATAACTTTTAAAAAAAATATCAATATTATTATTAGACATTTACATGCCTACTGCTACATAGTTAAAATCGTCACAAAAGCACATCAATTTCTAACTAATTTTGTACTACCTCCGTTAACATTTACTTGTAACTTTGGGGTATTATTTGAGTGACATAAAATATTCCAAAGTTGCAAGTAAATGTTAACGGAGGTAGTATTAGAGATTAAGAGATATATTTTGAAATTTGATTAAAATTTATCTCAAAATATAATAAACAACTCGGACATCGCAATTAATAACATAATTTTTAACATTTATTCATAACATACATAGTCGACGATAATATATTTCATTATGTCAAAAAAGATGATAATATATTTCATAAAGAAACAATTTAATTAAAGTGGTAACCCGATGCAATGCGCGGGCCACACACTAGTTTATCATCAAGGCCACACACTAATTTATCATCAATTCATTCTTTTATCAATATGAAACTTCTCATTGCTCCCATGATGTAATATTATTTCAACCATAAACGATATTCAATTCAAAAACTTTATTTTTATTTAGTTAAGGAAAACCTATAACTTATACCTAGATTAGGAAAAATGTAGTCCACTAGGAATTTGAAGTTTGGACCGACTTAATTGAAGAACGCCAATTATGAATTAAGTCTATTATTAAAACTTTATTATAAGAAGTAGATAATATTAATGGATTACTTATTGACTATAAATTCCCCAAAAAAGAATACTTGTAACGTTTTAAGGGTAGAAGTTGTAGAACTTGTCAAAATAATGCTACCTTAAAACCTACTCTCGACTAGTCAAAATTACTCAATTTTCTTTTCGTTTTTTTTTTCTTTTTATTTTAATTTTTTGGTAGTACCACCGTTAAAGCGTAGACTTGAAGACCACTATTCAAACCAATTAAAGTCCCCTTCAATTTCTCTCTCTTTATCTTTCTCTTTCTCTTCTACCATCATCTTTGTCTTCTGAAGTTATTCCATTTCGAATCCAGGTGAGTTTTTAATTTATGCAATTTTAATTTCTGCTTTTAATTGTCATTTTGCTTTTAAATTGAACTTCAAGCGTTAGTTTTTAGGCAGTTTTTATTAGTGATTTTTGTATCAAAAATTACCCATAAAATGTTATTTAGTTTTATGCCAATTGTGGTTCAATGTGATGTTTAATGGGATCTTCTGTATTTGTTAATTTGATGTAAAGTTTTGATCTTTCTCGCTTTTATTTTGGTGGGGTTTTGTTGGGTGGAAAATTAATTTATTAGATGAAATTGTTCATAATTTTCTTAGTGACTAGTGTCTCTTTACAGTGGCTAGAAATTGGGCAATGTGTAAATGACAATGAAGTAGACGAGATTCGATCTGAGGTCTCGAGTTCGACCCGATAGACATTAACCCACTAATCAAGAAGCTAACTTTGAATCTGTCAAAACAAGTGCTAGAATCACTGATGATTTTTCTATTGAAGTACTGAAATTGGAAGCCTTTTATAATTTGCTGGATACTTATACTTAATATTATAGTGGAATGAATTTTGTTTAATAAATTGTTTAATAAATTTGTTGTGGGGTTTCCTAAATGGGTTTTGGGTGGTAAATTTAATGTATTTTTTTCTTTCTCGGCAACATTTTGATTTGCATATTTTATTAGTAGTTGCAATAATCACAGTAACATTGGAGTTTATCTTTGTTATTTGACCATTTAATTTTTGAATCTCAGCACCAGATTTCTGGATTATGTTACTTGAACACTTCAAAAACCTCTACAACATGCATTAATCTGTCTAAGTGTAATGGCCTGATACAAAATTTAAATCCATACTCTAGTTTTTCCATCTGGTTTTTAGTGAGCGGACCATGAATGTGCTTGTGTTTTGTTGCTTCGAATTTGTTGGTCATACAAATTGTATACAAGTATATATTATGATTTATCCTTTGCTTAAACATCTGTAGCAATGTCTTATTCGATGTATGTAACTGGTTGAGGCAGTAAAAACTAAAAAGTATGTACCTAGTTGAAGAAGTAAAAACTGAGTAGGAATTTTTTTTTTTTGATAGAGAAACGATAATAGATGTATTCATTATTTTCATCATGGTTTTATTAAGCTGAACGACTCGCAGACAATGAAAGTATCCATTATGCTTTTAATTTTTTTGTTGTAGCTTTGTGTTGATGGTGCATGGTTTTCTGTGGTTTGTTTGTACCTCCTTTATGACCTTGTGCTCTAAAATCGGTTTTCAGGACATGGGTTGAGTAGTTGTTGCTATAGTCTTTGAGGAACTAGTCTGATAATCTGTTCTTTAATTATGGAATTTGGTCTTACTACTCTTACAGATTTCTACACTAAGAAAATGCTGTTTAAAGATCAGAAAATGGTTACATGAATGTGGTCAACGGTCTGGTTCATGTCTGCTTTCAAAGACCGATCAGTTGATCATTGTAGTATAGCTGTATGATATCTCATCACCTTTGGCTTCATGTGCTATTTGGTTTGAGGTTGTCACGTTTAAGCACTACCTTTCTGCACAAAGTGATTGACTCTATTTGTTGGAGCTAATAATGAAAGACATGAAGAAATGGTATGTTGGTGTTATAGTTTCCTCTATCTTCATGTTGCTGGTGCTACGATACACCATCATGCAAAACCCACTAGGGCCAAGTTCCTTGACTGCTTCTTTAACGTTCAATGCGACTAATCCATTTGAATGGGTTAACACTAATCCTCTTGAATGGATAAGCTCTACTGGTACACCTGATGTTCAAAGTCCTAAGATTGCTACCCAAGTAATTTCTACTGATACTCTGACATCCGGACTCTTTGTTTGGAGAAACCTTACGAAGGTGGAGCAACATTCTTTGCTGACTTGGAACCAGCTGAAGCACTTGATAAATAATTCTCAGTCTTTACCAAATGCACTAGAAGCCATTAGAGAAGCTTCACATGCGTGGAGTGGCCTTATGACTGTGATTGAAGAGGAAAAGCTTCATGTAAATGACAGTACTACTGTAAAAGCAAAGGAGAAACAGTGTCCGCACTATCTTAAGAAGATGAGTGGCTTAGAACTTAACAATAGTGATTTCAGGCTAGAGGTCCCTTGTGGATTGACTCAAGGTTCGTCTGTTACAATAATAGCTATTCCAAATGGCCTTCTTGGCAACTTCCGGATTGACTTAACTGGGGAACATATTCCTGGAGAGCCAGACCCACCTATTATACTGCACTATAATGTTAGGTTACATGGAGATCAGATAACAGAGGACCCTGTTATTGTTCAAAACACCTGGACTGCTGCACATGACTGGGGTGAAGAGGAGCGTTGCCCGAATTCTGAAACTGACACTAACAAAAAAGGTAACTAGGTTTCTCTATTCCGGGGATTATGTGAAGCTTTATTCTTTTATTATTTAGTAAAAGTATACATTGCCACCATTTGAAGAATTTCTGTGAGTTACTTGCTATGCCACACTCAAATTTTATGCCCTTTTCTTAGTCATTTTCAACTAAATCATTTATTATGTTTTCTGGAAAAAAAAGGATGTCTCTGAAAATTCTTTTGTAATTTCATTTAAGCAATTCGTGGTCGTGCTTGGAATTTGGTGGTTGGAGTTTGATGAGCCACTATACTTTTATATTCTGGTCTGCTATATTAGTAATACAACCCTACTGGAAGGTGTAGGAAACTTTAAACAAGTATGAGATTTTTATGTAAGGTTCAGTCATTGTCAAAAAATGTAGTTGCTAGGATTGTCCAGGTTCCACTGTTCCAGTAAATTATCATGTTTCTTTTGTAGTTTTCTTGTGTTATTTGAGTTTGTAGCTTTAGTTCCTTGTCGCAATATTTATTCAAACCTACAATCTCGTTCTTTTGGGTGATGCTGAGCTGAAATGTGCATTCTAGAGGAAACAGTGTAAATTACCCAGACGTGATTCATACTTTGTATTTGTTATCCTAATTTTGCAATGATGACTCATACTCCCCATTTATTGAGGTTTAGACTTCTGCATAAGATCGTCAGGTTCTCCATCAGGACTATTGTACTATGAAACTTGATAAACATATGACTACTTCCACCTTGACTTTATCTTATATTTTCCATATTGAAGTTATGTCTTCAGTATTTGACATTTTTTTGTGAATGAAACCATGTTGTATTTGTATGTGACTTTGGAGCTGACCCTCTTCCAAATTTTATAGTGGATGAGCTTGATCAGTGCAATGAAATGGTGGGAAAGGATGTCAATCAGACATTGAAAGCGTTCACCCATGTAAATGGTTCTAAAGGATCTCCACATATTCATGATGGGTTCAAAAGAAGACCATACTTCCCTTTTAAACAGAGCTATCCATTTGTTGCAACACTTAGAGTGGGTTCAGAAGGGATACAAATGACAGTTGATGGGAAGCATGTAACATCATTTGCTTATCGTGAGGTGCTGTTTTCAAAATTCCTCTAGAATTGCACTTTAGATGCTTGAGGTAAAATCCAGTTCAATTTATTCACTTGCATTTTCCAATTATTTCAGACCTTGGAGCCTTGGCTTGTTAGTGAAGTTAGAATATCTGGAGATCTGCAGTTAATTTCTATCATTGCAAGCGGTCTACCTACATCTGAGGATATAGAGTATGTTCGTGATCTGGAAACTCTGAAGGCTGTTCCCATTCCACACGAAAAAGCTTTAGATCTTTTTATTGGGGTTTTCTCGACTGCAAACAACTTTAAGCGCCGTATGGCTGTTCGAAGAACGTGGATGCAATTTCCAGAAGTGCGCTCAGGGTCAGTTGCAGTGCGCTTTTTTGTTGGTTTGGTGAGTCCCTAAGCTTTGTTTGTCCTGTTGAATGGTGACTTCAATAGTCACTCCAAATTTCGCCATTCTGTTTAATTTCATGTATTGGGTTGCAATACTCCTATTTGCATCTGGCCGTCAAAAGCAAAATAAAAGTAAGAGATCAATCAATCAAAGCCTTAATCCCATAAGTGGGGCCGGCTACATGAACCAAAAGTGATTATTTTGTGTAGTCATCAGCAAAAATCTTCCTCCTCCATCCCTTACGATTGCCTCATCTTCATGCAAATCCATATACTTCAAATCCTTCCTTCAAATCCATGTAACAGTAAGAGATGTGAGAGAGAAATCTTACAAAAGTTTGAATGGGGTAAGAGTGGGGACCATGTGAGGAGAAAGACATAAGGAATAGTATTTCTATTTGAGGAAGTTTTGCATTTAAATAAAAAAACGGCCTAGGAATTGTTGCAATTAAAAAAAGAAACGGCCTAGGAATTGTTGCAATAAAAAAAAGCCCTTGGAATAGTTGCATATAAAAAATAAATAAATAAATAAATAAATAAATAAATAAATAAAAATTCAGTACAATAATGTGTATCATGGTAGGATTCTAGGATATTGATAGCTATTATTGAAATCCTTATGCGCTCAAATCATTTAAATGAGAATTACTTATAAAGGTGGTATTTTTACAGCATAAAAACCAAAGAGTGAATGAAGAACTGTGGAATGAAGCCCGTACTTACGGAGACGTGCAGTTGATGCCATTTGTAGATTATTATAGTCTGATTACATGGAAGACTGTGGCCATCTGTGTTTTTGGGGTAAGGTCTTGTTTGATTTATGTCTTCCCTGTTTCTTGATGAATCGGATATTCCTATCAGTTATGTTCTTTCATAAAAAATCTTGTAGAAAAAAAGTTGTTTTAATCTATGACTTGTTGGAATATGTCTCCTAAATGCGATTTTGTTGGAGCCTGGGGACTTGTCACTTTGTCTGAACATATCAATCTATAAAAAGGAAAATTGCTGTTTTGGATAGTTGCTTTTCTCATTGATTTACTCAATTTTAACTTTAATCCATGAATTTGCTATGTCCAACAAAACCGTTTTGAAACAATTTTGTGATTGTATAGAAGGGTGCATGAATCCTATGAGTTATAGTACACACTTCTTTTGGAATTATTTTTCATTAATATGTTGGGATTTCATTTTTACATAATTGTAGTGAAATTTAGTCTTTTAAACATTAATACTTCAATAGAACTTCTCATTGACTTCTCTGGCACAATGATGCAACAGACGGAGGTTGTTTCAGCAAAATATGTCATGAAGACAGATGACGATGCTTTTGTTCGTGTTGATGAAGTAATAGCTTCCTTGAATAAGATAAATGTGACTCGTGGGTTGCTTTATGGGCTCATTAACTCTGACTCACGACCTCACCGGAGTCCTGACAGCAAATGGTTTATTAGTACTGAGGTAATATTAGAAGCTATTAGTAAAATTTCAATGTTGCATACAATTTAAAATTATTTTTAAGTGATTCCATGAGTATTCTTTTCTAGTAGCTGCTAATCAGCTCCTATGCCGATGTTTAATGAGTTCTCTGTTGAAATTCTGAAATTACCAAAGACTAAAATACACAATGGTTCCCTGTTATTGTGTAATCCTCATGCCTGAAAGGTTATTCATTACAAGAAAATAACGCCTGTTATTTTAAATCATCAATTCTGTTGGCCATTCAGCATTGCATAAATCTACTGTCTGCTCTGTTGTGTTGATCTAAGAACTCCATTGAACATCCATCTTCAAAATCATCTAAGGCTGATCCAACGACGTCTTAGTGTGTATTATTTTACATATGTACTTGTATATTTCAAAAACACTGTTTTATTAGGCTATTTTTAAAAGCTTATATCTTAGGCGTGTTTGCTCAATTTACAATCAAATCATACTATTCTAAATGCTTGTCTGTGTAAAGATGCTTAATGTTCATGGCTTCTGATAATCTTTGATGTGTGTTTTTGAAGGAATGGCCTGAAGAAACTTACCCACCTTGGGCACATGGTCCTGGTTATGTTGTGTCACATGACATTGCGAAAGCAGTATCTAAGAGACATCAAAATGGGCAACTGAAGGTGAGAGAAGCCTAGTGCAACAATAATATTGAATATCTGTTTGAATGCTGATAAAATTTTGTTGCCATGTGTTATTGTACTCTAAAAACATTTATGCTGGTTCTTGTAAACACCAGATGTTTAAGTTGGAGGATGTCGCAATGGGCATCTGGATTGCTGACATGAAGAAAGAAGGGCTTGAGATCAGGTATGAGAAAGAGATGAGAGTCTACAACGAGGGTTGCAAGGACGGTTATGTTGTTGCACACTATCAAGGTCCAAGAGACATGTTGTGTTTATGGCAAAAACTTCAAGAAACCAAGCGCGCCTTCTGCTGTGGAGATGGTATGAGCTGAGAATTTTTTTGACGGCTGACAGTGACTACCAACCATTGCTTCTGCATAGATGTAGGATTTAGGTAGTAGATGAATACACATTTTTAGGAATTGCATATATAGGAGGCATTACCTTGTTCTTTTACCTCTCATTCCTTGAGAGCGAGTAGCTGATTTCTAAGGGTTTAGCCGTATTCCATTTTGTAACATATTGAGTACTCCATATATGCGAGAGAGAGGTCACATATACGGAGTATTATCTAATATCCTTGTATAGAATTAAAAGAGGGTGTATAAATTCGGAGTATTTTGCAATTATGATGTGCTGAATACCCTTTTCTCCCATTCTTCCATCTCAAAATTATGATATCCTATATTCCTATCCTATACAGCTACGCTAGACATTAAGAACATCATTTTTTCCAACAAGTCATCACAAATCTTCAAAATCCCATTCTAGCTATTGTAAACATTCTGCTTATCATTTTTATTATTACTAGTATTTTTTTAAAAAATAAAATCTAGTCTTAAACATTGTACTCTGTATTTATCTACGTTTTATACTAAGGGAATACAAATCGACTTTTTCTTATATAATCCGTGTTAGTATGTGTACTTTTGAGATTGTTTGCCTTCTTTCAAAGCCACAATATGTTACCGCACAACATAACTGATGCGGAGACTATATGATTTGTGTAAGATTGAAATTTTGTTCAAAGATAAGGTAGTAAATTAGCAATTCAAGGTTCTAAAACACCAAAATTAACTGATACAACAATTGTAGTGTGAAAAAGTTGCAGTTATAACTTTCAAGCCATACAACTCTTCCTTTTACAAATACAAATTTTTTAAAAAAAGTCTCGTGTATTTTAAGCCAACATCTATTCTTTTTTTCCAATATTCTGCTATTCACTATGGTGAGATTCTAATCTAAGGTAGTCCTATATGATGAAAAAATATCTTAACTTTACCCTGTTTTTTAACAAGATTGACTCGTGCCTCTATTTACATTCCTTTGTTGCCAAAAATCTATGAAAAGTTGAAAATAAAAAGTTGCTAAAATAAGTGAGACACTTTTTATCGTCCTAAAAATTTGAACTATACTTGGTTAGTTAATCAATCATCGAAAGTATTCGCATATCAAGGGAAACAGATTTGATTTGATTAAAACAAGCATAGTTCAGATTAAGTACAAAATACAAATCAACAACAATGTTTAAAGCAAACAAACACAAGGAGAAACTATTAAAATCATTATCTTAATCCATTGTCATAATTACTACAAGTACAACAGTACTTTTTTTGAGAACAATTACAACAGTACTTAAAAGTACAACATAAACTACATAAACCAAATAACAACATAATTCTCATATTAATAAAGGCAGACAAATAAACTATGACATACTACGTACCAACAATTGCATAAATTTCTTTCTAAGTAGCCATGCACCCAACACCAAAACGAGCCTTAGGAAAGACAAGAAAAAGGCAACTACAAACAACACCAACCATCAAAGGAAAACTCTCCATGGCTTCCTCCATCTCTTTAGCATGACCCGGGAGAAGACAGTTGGTAACCCGATGGTCCGAAAACGCAATCGCCATAAACACCATAACCGACATCATAGCGTGCACAAAATCAGAAAAATGGACGTTATACTTGTCCTCCTTAGGCACCTCAACATCCAACCCTGGCTTGAACACTGCTAACCCGTTACGAGTCACGAAACCGTAGTAAACCTTCCCATCCGGGGCCCGGAAACTATCAGTAAAATGGAAGAAGAAGCAAGAGAGGGCACATAGTATAAGTAGAATAGTAGTCATAATAGTGGAAACTGAAGAGCATTCACCAACACCATAAATAGAAGGAAGGACCATCTCAAAAGTGAGTAGGGTTCCAGTAGGAAGGAAATGGGCTAGCATAGATGTCTTAGAAAGGGTTCTTTGGACAGATTTCGCAACCACGGCACGCCTTTTCTTTGGCACACCCGTGGATTCAGGGAGCGTTGGTGGGTCCGAGGGTGCCGGAGGGGTTGATGGTGGAGGGGGGAATTGAGGAGGGCCTTTGGATGGAGATGCAGTGTAGATTTTGATTCCTAATTCAGGTTGTTCAGTTTGCTCCATTTGTGGTGGTGGTATAAGGAAAGAGGTTTATTGCGGTTGTAGAAGTTAAAGTTTGTTTCCTAGAGTATGACAATGGGAGAGTGGTGGTTTTTGGTTTAAAATGAAGGTTTGTTGATTTATTTATTGTCCATGTATTTGAAAGAAAAAATAACCACCCTTTTTTTTTTTTTTAAATGTACCCAAAAAAAAAAAAAAAAACTGCCCTAAAAAAATGTTAATAACCACCGTTTTTTATGAAAAATTAACTGCCATTCTTATTCAATGTTGCTTCCAAGATGAAGTAAAGAGGAAAAAGCAAAAAATGAGCATTAAAAAAAATAAAATTGATTTGTCTAGTTAAACAATGAAAACACAAATTGGCTAGAATTGAGTCATTGACGTTTAAGAGTGAATATACAGTACATTATAGGTAACAATCACATACGATTTGAGCCTCGGTTCTAGGTTGAACCGATTCCTAAAGGCTCAGGTTTCTGTAAACACAAATTTCTATGTTTCCAAGTGTCTGGACCGTGATTCTAGATGTTTAATGGTTCAGGTTCATCTTATTTATGATTAAGTACGGGTTGTTAATGAAGAGTGTCTAATGGCATGGTGTTATGCAAGATTACTCTTGGTGCCATGAGTGTGGAAGTTTATGATTTAACATGGATCTCAGGAGCATGTCCAGTTGTCCACCTTGTGTTTCGAAACTTGTACATGAATTTCAAGGGTTTATGGAGGAATTTACAACTTACAAGGAGTATCCTGCAGTCTATCTGAGCAAGAAGCCGTGTTCAGAGAGTGCAATTTCAAATGCTTTCACCCTTTCTCCACGATCACTGCCATTGCGATCGTAAGATGATATTTCATCGATACTGAGGTTTACTGCTGCTTTTACAAGCTCTTCACCAACTGCTTTCGCAGCCTCCTGAAAGCATTGACAACCAGGAACATTTTAATTCAATCTCTATCTAATCACTGAAACTTTAAGAAACTGCAAGAAAATACTCTGATCTGTAAGTGATTCTTGAATGCTTTAGCATCATAGCAAGTCACATTGTTAACTAGAAAAGTTTATTGCATATAGCATATTGAGATTAAATTCCAACCAAGTCAATTGAGAGTAGTACATACGCAAACATCATATGAAGTTAATTTGGTGCTTACCACAGTACTCACATCAGGATCACTTCGGACAGATTTCTGCAAAGTGCTTCCATAATATAAACACTTCTTATTTACATCTTCTACAAGCATTGCATACAGCTGCTTATCTGAACAGAATACTGAAAGCCTTGGTTTGGTAGATGTGCCATCATACTGTGACAACGAAAAAATACGTTCTTAGAAAGTCCATGGCTTTACAAGACATCAACAACTAAAAATACTAGCTGTGCAGCAGCTGCATTCAACCTTTTGTATATATATGTTAACCAGATACAGATTCTTCATCCCAAGAAAAAAATATAGTACACAAAATGGATTCATTAACATCTCCACTAGTAGTTCCCTTGAATTCACCAAGTTTACAATGTTAAATACTTTTCAAATTCATAAGCAGACATATGAAGTATAAACCACAAACATTGTGTTAATGACAGTCCTTCAATAAGGTGTGATCATCCTAGGTCTCATACCTTTTTCTGTAATCGTCTGTTTTGGAGTTTGTTACTTTCAATTCGAGTATTTGCCCTTTTCCTAAACTTCGCTTCAATCACCAACGACTTCCAAGCAACTCCTACTGTCCAAAAACAAAACAAAATATTCCTGAACCTCCAAAATTGCAAATCTTGAAACTCACACAAGGACTACTTCAAACAAAACCAATACACTTTGCCATTTTGTATAACCGTTTTTTCGCCGGGCTTACCTCGAGTATGCAGTGGCAGAAAGTGAACTCTCAATGGATTCAAAACAATCCTATTAAGAAGCCAGCAATTGACATGCTGCATTGGATTGACATTCAAAAGAGCCATTGTGCTTCAGACAATAAATGTCAGCAATCTAACTTTGACATCAAATTAACCCACTTCCTAAAACAGATTAACACATAAAAATATACAATCAGTCAAATCCAATTCCAGAAAGCACATAATATGTCCTTGTATTATTTAACAATATGAAAAAGGGCAAACTTCAAAGTGTAATTTTAACAAACAGGTGGTGTGCAAAGGTGAAAACACCAAATTTAATCCTTGAATTATAATAAGAAAGTACTTAATTGGATAACCCATGTCAAAATCAAAGAACATGTTAATGGGTATTGGGAATTTTGTGGATTGTTAGAGTAAAAAGCTAAAATTAAGATATTTTTCTCAGTTTAAAAGAGCTATTTCCGGCTTAATATGATTATGAAATTGTTGAATGCAGTAAACTAACATACCTTTAAAATTTGGAGAAATCATTAGTTTACTGGTTTGTCGATGATGATTTCTGCTTGATTAGTTGGTTAAGTTTACTAAATTAGTTTAAATTTCTCCCGCTGTAATTTGTTTCTGTTTCTGTTTCTGGCAGACCAGTTCCAATGTTCCTTGCTCAGACGAGCTGGTTTGTAGTGGTTTAGCTGCTGTTTGTTCTTTTTCGTTTTTGTTTTGCTTGCTGTGTGTTTTCTTTTTTGTTCCTCCCCTTGGGTTTTTTGCCCACTCTTTTCACCAAAAAAAAAATGTTCCTTGCTCAGAAAAATTATTAGAGGATTCTTGCATTTTTGCCATTTTAACTTAAATTGTGATTCCTATACAAACCATAAGTTGGGCATGGGCTGGGACCATACAACAATGAAATGGCCTGATCTAGCACGAGCCCAGCACAGCATGAGAGGCAATGTCGGGGGGCGGGGGCTAACCGGTCAGGTGCTCTGTATAAACATTAATTTCAAATTTTCGCACAAGCATGAGAGGCCGGCTTTGGCAGTTGGTTTATTTGCCCACTTATTTTTGACCAATTTCCAAAAATATACGGTAAAAAATGAAAAATCGTTACGAACCCAATACAACACAATTGTATTTTGACGTGTTAAATATATTCCTGAGTCCTTACAAACAAATTCCTAATCAAATTGTGAGAGTTTGTTAAACAATAAACATATTTGATGGCAAATTTATTTTTATGAACTTAAATACTCCGTAAACATTTTGGACGGCATTTGTTTTTAGCAAAATATGTCGTCCAAAATGTTATACTCCTTACTTCTTCTTCTTCTTTTATTTATTTATTTATTTATTTATTTATTTTCTTTTTAAATTCATCCATAATGTTATACTTTGGATGTGAGATAATTATTTATTGCAATTGAACAAAAATAATATATTATATATTTTCTTTGTTAATTTTTTTTCCAAACTATGACGAGGTTACTTAATCAGGGGTTGTCCGATCGACCGAAGTTACTTGTTCAGGGATTACTTGGTCGGTTAGGATTTACTCGATTAAAGATTACTCGGTTGATATGAAGTTATTAGTCGGTCAAGGGTTTCTCGGCCAGAGTTACTCAGTCGGTTAGGGATTATTCGATCAAGGGTTACTAAGCCAGTTAGGGATTATTCGCTCAGGGGTCACTCAATTAGTTAGGGATTATTCGATTAGGAGTTACTCAGTTAGTTAGGGATTATTCGATCAAGGGTTACTTAGTCAGTTTCGATTATTCGATAAGGAGTTACTCAATTAGTTAGGAATTATTTAATTAAGGATTACTCGATTAGTGTTTTGGTGTGAGTTAGATACAGAAAACACACTGAACAACAAAGTGTACCCCCCTAAAAAAATTTGAATCCAATTGCGATACTTAAAGCCTATTCATGTTTAATGAAATGAGTTGAACTAAACTGAACTGATTTGAGTTGAACTAAACAGAATTGTATAAAGCTGAAATGAATATTGTATGAGAGAAGAAATTTAGGAGCTGAACTGAACTGAACTAAATTAAACCAAACATAAATTAAGCTGAAATGAACGGGCCCTTAATGAAATAATGCAAAACCACGTGACACTCTAATTATCCATCTTGTTACTGCTGATTCCAATTCCCAAATATCCATGATTAACATAATTAATCCTAACATTAAATCTAACAAAAATAACAGATGTCATCATACTACTATCTCCATCCAAACTGATTAGACTAGAACCTACTATAATCCTGTGGGCCCGTCTGCAGACAATCCTCCTTCCATAAATATCTCTCTCTTCAACGGATAAGCATCACAAAAAAAAAAAAAAAAATCCTTATTTCTTTTTGCTTTTTATTCAAGTAAGAAAATACATGCACATACACAAACATTCCAGATTCTTCTACCACCTTATAACTTCCACTTTCTTCAACCCCAAACACCGTCTTCATACGTTGCATATAAATCCCTTCTTTTCAATTTTTCTCTCTCCTCAAATTTCAATTCAATTCAATTAAATTAATCGATCTCTTTGATCTCTCTCCTCTTCTTCTTTCCTTCAACAATGGCGTCAGAATCAGAATTTTCTTCAACAGAGATGCAATCATTCTTAGAAAGATTAATAACTTCAAGAAACAGAGACATCTCCATGTTTCTCCCCTTCATGTTAGGGTTCAGTGGGCCCGACCCGACTGAAACCCGGCCCAGCTCGGAGGAAAACCCGACAACCCCAGAAGAACGCCGTGAAAGAATCGTGCTGATAAACCCGATGACGCAAGGGATGGTAGTGATCGAAGGAGCAGGGCTTGATTCTCTGTTTCGCGGAGTACAGAGTAAAGAAGGACAACCACCAGCTTCAAAATCAGCGATCCAGAAGATGCCAAGTGTCGAGATCAGAGAAGGCGAGGAGAAAGAGTGTGTGATATGCTTGGAAGAGTGTAAGGTTGGTGATCTTGTTAAGGAGATGCCATGCAAGCATAGGTTTCATGGCGGGTGTATCGATAAATGGTTGAATCTTCACGGTTCGTGTCCGGTTTGCCGGTTTAATTTACCGATTGAAGAGGAAGATGGTGGGAAGAAGGGAGAAGAGGAGGAGAGAGAAAGGAGAGGGCAAAGAGAGATTAGGGTTAGTTTTTTGTTTGGGCGTAGTAGGAGAAGAACAGAGGAAGAGGAAGAGGAAGAGGAGAGAGAGAGTGAGTCTAATGACTGACAATAGTAATTAGAGGTGTCGATTCAGGTGTTCGGGTTTGATCGATCGGTTTATTTGGAGTCAGGTTAAAGACAGGCAAATTTTGTTACATATTAGTATGGAAATTTCAGTAGGGTTGTTTCTTTGTTAATGCTTGTGAATATTGTAGGAGATTAGATGAACAGAAATAAATTTGTTGGGTTTAATATCTTTAAACAATTTGTTTCAATTCTTTTATTGTTTTTTTTTTTTTTTTGAAATATTCTTTTATTGATTTCTTTATTACTCAACTATGGCACTATTTATAACTGTTTTATTGATTGTTGATTTATTGTTTCTTGAATTTTAATTTATTTTGTAAAGACATGTAAATGGATTGATTAGTTCATGCCCTTCATGGGAAAATTCTTAGCAATTTAGTATTGTCTATATTTAGGTATTCTATTGAAACTTCTAAAGAGTTCTAGAATGTCTTTTCAGACAGTGACTTCTCCTCAGATTTTTTTTTTTTTTTTTTTTTCCAGAAAATTTTAAGCTCGTTTGTCGCCGTTATCTGCGAGTTGTATCACTTGTATGTACTTTGTTTTTGTTTTGTTTTTTTTTTTGTTTGTTTTTTTTTTTTTCAAGTTCATTCTTAGTCTCGAATTTCGGTAGTTGAATTGACTGAATCAGTCAATTGAGAACTCAGATCCGATACATAACTGCTGTTGGACTTGTTAGATAGGTCATGTTCATGTTTAGGATCTTTGTTTTATTGGTCTATTACCGAACTGGTTAAACTTGTGAAATTTTATACTACATACTTTATATGTTGCAAGTATATAGATATTATTTAGTATAAAAACAATAAAAGAAAGGCAATATATTACGTATATATTATTCTTTAGAATATATTATACAATTCTATTCTTTAGAATATATTATACAATTCGTGTATCACACGTTAACACCAAAATTCCTCAAAGAACATCACACAAAATCAATCACTAGTTTGAACAATAATCACAATAGTTATAACATAAATCATCTTTGAATTGAAGATCATGAACTTGATCTACCCTGTACAATCTTCAAACCTTGATACCTTCCTAACATCATCAATGTACCCATAGGATTAGTCCCCGGAGATTCCACCAAAGTCGATCCATCCATAACCCTTAAACCCTTAATTCCATACACATTGTAATCCTTATCTACCACTTCTCCTATAGTACACCCACCATGATAATGATAAAACGTGCTCACATTTTTCTTACAATACTCTTTACTCTCCTCTTTCCCTAGCTTCTCCAACCGGCTACGTTCGCGCCCGAGGTATACACTCACTGCCTCGGACATTGATACTCCCTCTACCAACTGATGTATCTTAACACAATACTCCATATCTTCATCTTTTGATAGATAATTGAACTTAACTAGCGGATTTTCCCTAGGATCCTTGTTTTTCAGCTCAAGTGTGCCCGTCGAAGCAGGGAAGGCAAGCTTACCGGCTATTGACACCCGTGTTAAGTCCTTACTTACTGGTACTATGATTGATTCAAGTATGACCTTAAAGTTTTCTGTAATGCCTGTTACTTGTGGTGTATCGGGTGTTCGAGATTTAGGCTTCGAATCGACTAGTAGAGATATTGCAGGATTGTCCTGCATTCTGTTTCCTACACTTTTCAAGTCTGCTAACACTGATATGTTGAACGTTTGGAGGTGTTTCGAGGGTCCGATACCGCTTAGCATGAGGATTTGTGGGCTGCTAAGTGCTCCTGCTGTGAGTATAACTTCACCCCTTGGTAGACTTGAATTCTCTTGCTTCTTGAGGTAAACTTTGTGGGATTTTTTTGTGTCGTCGTCACTTTTGATGAACTTTACTCCTTTAGCACTTGGTTTATCCCCTGCTTTGTCTGTCAAAAACAGAAGGAACAAAATTAATTTAGAATTTAGACATTTTTAGTTTTGAATATGCGTAATTCATTGGTTGTATATGTAAAGAAAATAATATATTTTTCGTGTATAATGTAAAAAACTGTATTTTCTTACACAGTTACACGCTCATTTAGTCATTTGAATATGACATGATCAAATTAAAGATGACAAGATTGCGCTCAAAATTAATAGAGTAAGACTAATAATACTCCGTATTAATTAGTTGTAAACTTGTAAGTTGATCCAAATATGACAGAATGAAATCGAACCTAACTTAAAATCTTATCATTCTAAAGTGAGCTGAGCCAAATCAATCAATGTAATTGACAATGACTAGCATTCCACCCCAAAATAATCAACTAATTTTCCTATCCTTTTTTTTTTCCCAACATACACTTTGTATGACATTATCAATTGTAATGTTGACGTTATCACTCAACTTAAAAAAAAAAAAAAAAAGTTTACCAATCAACTTTTGGATGTCTCATCTCTCATGTGTATAAGACTGCAACACTACACTAACAATTATACGGTTAGAAAATTGTACAAAGTATTTCATTATTAAAAACTTTGAAATTTTTTAATAATTAAAGAAAAATTCTAGGTGACAAAACTATAAAATCTTAAAAACTACATTTATTTCTTTTTAGTTATAATGATTAAGGGTATTATTTATGAAACATAAAAAATTCCGTTGTTGCAAATAAAAAGAAACGGAGGTAGTAAAATTTGTGAAAACCAAACATCTTCTTACAACACTTACCTTCATCATGGTGGAAGAAGACCTTACTCACAGTTGCATTCAACAAAACCACAATATTCTTCGGATTCCCTCCACCAAGAAGATCAGCAGCCGTGTGGCGTTTTCCGAGCACGTCAAATATAGTACCACTCAATTTAGTCCCTTGAACATGCTCTAGAGTGTACCCATTAAAGGGCAAAACCCCTGCCTCTAAGAGTCCATCTAACACAACAGATTGCCAAGGACTTAATGTTTCTGGCGCGGAAACCACCTTCGATTCCACCCATTCATAAGCTTGTTTTACCATCTTTTCATCCCATCCCATTTTCTTATTAAATGCATCACTTGCCCTACTATAAAATCCGCTATTTATAGCGGTCGATCCTCCTAGGACTCTTCCCCTGTAATTCAAAACTCCGTCTAAGGAAACGAATTCTTGTGCTACTGAAGTGTATTTGTTCGTTTCCACGAGTGGATAGCCAAACTTATTTCGTTCCAAAATTGTTGGGTGGCCGTAAGGTGAGTCCCCTCGTTCGATTACGAGCACGGAGAATTTCTCCGAGAGTGTTGCTGCTAACGGGCAGCCGCATGCTCCTCCTCCGATTATTATGTAATTGAATGATTTCCCTTCGACTTCTGTTACGTCCGAAGTCATGTATGGGTGCTCAACTTTTAGTCCTGCCATGTTAATAACAAGGTTATGTTTATGTTTGATCATCTGCTCTACGTGTCTCTCTAATAAATAACTGTATACCATAAAATTTCAAATCTGGATATACAAATAAAGATGTAGAAAAACATACAGAAACAATATGCTGATTGCTAATTTGATTTAAAATACGATCGTGCCCTCTTTAATCACAGTATATACAATTAAAAATGATGAATAATAAATATGTTTCAATTAGTAGAAACTAGTCTATAGATAAAATCAAGTGTAGTGAATGACCTAATTTGGTTAAAAAAAATGCTCACATTTGTATATAAACATTCGAGTTACTATTTTATAAGATAGATATCTTACCATTGTTACATAAAGGAGAGGTGGTTGGTGATGCGCTAGCTGATAAATAGAGGATTGAAAGAATGCAATGGATAAGAAACCAAATTCTAATTCTAGTTTGTTGAAGCTTCTTCATTTATGGTATAATGAGAAGAAGATTATTGCTTAGTATTTTGAGACTTGAGAAATAGTGTAGTATGTAAAAAGTACAAGAAATTGTTCAAAAAGACAATGATAATCGATATCCTAGAAAACTTTGGTTATAAAGATGCATGCAACCAAAAAAAAGAAAAAAAGAAAAAAGAAAAAAAGAACTCTTGTAATATGAATTTTGTTACTTTAATGGTAGATAGAGAACTAATTAATACTAAAACTTTACGCATGTTTAGAGCAATTATAACTTGGACTAATATTAGTCGGGTATGTAATAATGTTGCTTGCTATGGTTATTATTGCATGCTCTTCCTTGGACTTCATGTATAATTGATTGGACCTCCCCATATTTTTTTTATATAGTGGGAAGTTATAAAAAGACGCTCTTCACCTACTACCATTTACTTATTGTTATATATTGAAGATGGTTGTTCATTGGTTGATTAGTAATCATACGTAAGAAATTGATGTCCGTTAATATAACAACCAACCAATGGGTTCTTGAATTAGCTTAGTAATTAGTACTCCTTTCGTCCCTTAACTACGTGCCTATTTCTCTCTATCATGTGAGTGATAAATGATAGAAATAGATACATAATTAAGAGATAGAGGGAGTATACTATAAGTCATAGCCTCATCCTATCATTTTTGGCTAGGTCATTACAAGTAGAGCTGTCAATTCGGGTAAACGGGTCGGGTAAGAGTGGGTCGGGTTAACTCGGGTCGGGTCATTTCGAATTAATTCCATAACCTATGCGGGTTGGGTTTGGGTTGGGTCATGCTTGAGTCGGGTCATACTTCTTATCGGGAATGGGTCGGGTTTAGGTCGGGTTAATAACAGGTCGGATCACATTCGGGTCAGGTGAACAATAGTTCGGGTTACATTTGGGTTTTCACGGGTTAGGGTAATTCTCGGGTTCGAGTCGGGTTCAGTTCAAGTCAATAATTTGTGGGTTAGAATCAGGTTGGGTCATTTGATAGGCGTGTCGCGTACCTAACAAAAATAAACCTAACTAGACCACTACTATGTAGACGGGCAAGCAAGGGTCGGATCCCAAGAGACTATGGTTCAACTAATTAAATAGACTCAAGCAATTACTAAGTAACCAAATCAAATAAGTGAGAATCAATATCTAAAGAACTAATTAAAGCGATTAAATCTAAACAATATGACAAATCAATGCTAAAAATATCCAAGATCAAGCATCACCACAAATACTATTAATGCAATAGTCGTTCTACCCCTAACACATAATTCAATTGATTAAAGAGGAAAAGTAATCCATGAATAATACCAATGGTCTCTCCCGAGTTATCAATGGCTTCTCTAATCACAATCAAGCCTACTTCGGTGGAATCATGTAAATTAAATACCTCAAGCACATTACTCTAACTTCCTAATCATCCATTCAACTACTCCCGTGATGAACTTCAAACCCTTAATTGATTTATTCAAACCCGTCAAAACCCAACTCCCGTTGCGATTAAAACAATGGATTAATAACAATACCAATTATCCCTAATCTAGTATTGGCATGAGCACAATCAATTAAGCATATCAATTGCAATCATCATTAGAGAATTTAAAGAACTAAATCAAGCATTAATCATATTCGGGTTCCGCTAGATCTTGGAATAGGGAAACTACTCACACATATTAATGAAATCAAGAATAATAATCAATAAAGAAAACATAATTAACAATAATAAAATAAGAGAATTGAGAGAAGAAATCAATACTTGAAATTAATTATGAAATCTTGAATCTTGAAAGCAAAACCCTAGAAAATAATATATGGAAGAACGTAATACCCAAAAAGAAGTCTAAAAAATAATATCTGAAAAAGTGATAAAGTGATAAATAAAAGATTATCTAAAACCTATTTATATCCTAGCATAAAAGTAGATATTTTTATCTAAATATGACTCTCAAACGCCACCGAAACGAGCTTCCACAGGTAGGTTGTGGCACGAAGAAAACCGCCACAACCAGGCTGTGGAGTGGGTTGTCTTCGCCTCTCCTTTGCTCCAATAATGGACGCCCACAACCAGGTTGTGGCCATAAGGTTGCACGCCACAACCAAGCTGTGGAGTAGGCTGCCGAAATGCTCCATTGGTGCTAGAAACGCTCCATATAAAGAAATATCTCGCGATCAAAATGAATTCCATGCAAATCGAGCCCTATTCCTATAAAAACAAAAACAAAAAACCGAGAAGAGTAGTATCGAAATAGAAAGAATAATAGCTCAAAAAGATTAGGAGAATGAAGAAAACACAATAAAACATGACCAAATATCACATATAAGTCGTGTATAATATCGTGTTATCATCATTCTTGGGTTTGAGTCGGGTTCCGTACAAGTCAATAATTTGCGGATTATAATCAGGTCGGGTCATTTTCAAGTCGGGTCTTTCTCGGGTTCAAGTCGGGTTTGGTTCAAGTCAATAATTTGCGGGTTATAATCAGGTTGGGTCATTTCCAAGTCGGGTCACTCTCGGATTCAAGTCGGGTTATGTTCAAGTCAATAATTTGCAGGTTACAATCAGGTCGGGTCATTTCCAAGTCAGGTCATGTTCAGGTTCATCTAACTATAAATAGATTATCATCATTTTTATTAAGCTAATTATTTCCTTAGACTATAATATATGGAAATATACAAGGGAACTATATTCTATAATTTAGGAAGATAATTATCTCCTTTGACCATACAACAAATATATACTATATTTAACTCTTAAATTTGAGGATGATGCTCCTTTCTTTTGTTGGCCCGGACCGACTTGGTCTCCCAAGACAAAATGCTTTGATCAACAATAATAAGGTGGTCTAAATTGCATTTAAGGTGATTTGAAATCGGGTTAGGAACAATTTGGGTTGAATTTAGGTCGAGTCAATCACAAGTCGTGTTAATTTCGAGTCGGGTTAGTAACATATTGGGTTGAATTTTTGGGTTGGGTAAGTAATAGGTAAGATAAAATTTGGGTCGGGTCAATAACAAGTCGGGTTGAATTTGGGTCAGGTCAATAACAAGTCAGGTTGATTTCGGGTCGAGTTTGTAACAGGCTGGGTTAAATTCGGGTCGGGTTGAATTTAGGTCAGGTTTGTAACAAGTCGGGTTAAATTCGGGTTTTGACGGGTTAAAAGGGATTTGGGTCAATTTTGGTTCAAGCCGGGTTCGGTGCAAGTTAATTAAATTGGCCGTTGTAAAACGATAAATCGACGCAAGTTGTAAACCGGTGAATTGACCGTTTTAAAGAAAATTGAATGGTTCCACACACCCAATTAGACTCCCCGAGGGTATTAGGGACCATGGTAAACATTTCAGCAATTTCATTTCCGGGCGAAAAAAAAGTCAAAAAATTCCAAAATTAAAGGCTAATATTCACGTTTTTTGAGAAATATTGGAGGTTTTGGGGCCCGGTGTCGAAATGTCTTGAAATTCTATACATCTCAGGGTCATATAATGCCGTTTGGAACCATATATATCATTATTTGTTGTCATAAATGTTCCTGGTAGGCTTGAATTGATGAAATCTGTACAAGTTGTAAACTGGTAATTTGGTCGTTTAAAGGCAAATTGGATGGTTCCACCCACCCAATTGGACTCTCAGAGGATATTAGGGAACATGGTAAAAATTTAGGCATTTTTTATTTCCGGGCGAAAAAAAATCAAAAAATTTCAAAATTGAAGACTAATATCCACGCTTTTTGAGAAATTTTGGAGGTTTCGAGGCCTAGTGTAAAAAAGTATTAATATTATAAGGGATACATCTTGGGGTCATATAATGCCGTCTGGAACCATATATGATCATTATATGTTGTCATAAATGTTCGTAGTAGGCTTGAGTTAATGAAATTCGTGCAAGTTATAAACCGGTAATTAAATAGGCCGTTTAAAGACAAATTGGATGGTTCCACCAACCCAATTAGACTCCCGGAGGGTATTAGGGACCATAAAAAACATTTCGGCAATTTTTATTTCCGGGCGAAAAAAAGTAAAAAAAATTCCAAAATTGAAGACTAATATCCACGCTTTTTAAGAAATTTTGGAGATTTCGGGGCACGGTGTCGAAAAGTCTTGAAATTTTAGGGGATACATGTCGGGGTTTCATATAATGTTGTTTGGAACCATATATGATCATTATTTGTTGTCATAATTCTCATAAATGTTCGTGGTAGGCTTGAGTTTAAATTAATGAAATTGGTGCAAGTTGTAAACCGGTAAATTGGTCGTTTAAAGGCAAATTGGATGGTTCCACCCATCCAATTGGACTCCCGACCAATATTAGGGACCATTGTAGACATTTCAGCAATTTATATTTTCAGGCAAAAAAAAAGGCAAAAATTTCAAAATTGAAGGCTAATATCCACAGGTTTTTGAGACATTTTGGAGAATTCAGGGTCCGGTGTCGAAAAGTCTTGAAATTCTAGGGGATACATCTTGGGGTCATTTAATGTCGTTTGGAACCATATATGATCATTATTTGTTGTCATAAATGTTCGTGGTAGGCTTGAGTTAAAGAAATCGCTGCAAGTTATAAACCGGTAAATAAGCCGTTTAAAAGAAAATTGGATGGTTCCACTCACTCAATTGGACTTCCGAAGGGTATTATGTACCATGGTAAATATTTCGGCAATTATTATTTCCGGGTGAAAAAAGTCTAAAAATTCCAATATTAAAGGCTAATATCCACGCTTTTTGAGAAATTTTGTAGGTTTTGAGGCCCGGTATCGAAAAGCCTCGAAATTCTTGAAATAAATCTCGGGGTCATATAATGTCGTTTGGAACCATATATGATCACTATTTGTTGTCATAAATGTTCGTGGTAGGCTTGAGTTAATGAAATCGGTGCAAGTTGTAAATCGGTAAATTGGCTGTTTAAAGGCAAATTGGATGGTTCCACCCACCCAATTGGACTACCGGAGGGTATTACGGATCATGGTAAACATTTCGGAAATTTTTATTTTATGGCGAAAAAAGTCAATTTCCAAAATTAAAGGCTAATGTCCACGCTTTTGAGATATTTGTGATGTTTCAAGGCCCGGTGTCGAAAAGTTTGAGATTTTAGGGGATACATCTCGGGGTCATATAATGCCGTTTGGAACTATATATGGTCATTATATGTTGTCATAAATGTTCGTGGTATGCTTGAGTTAATGAAATTGGTGTAAGTTGTAAACGGGTAATTGGTCGTTTAAAGGCAAATTAGATGGTTTCACCCACCCAATTGGACTCCCGGAGGGTATTAGGTACCATGGTAAACATTTCGGCAATTTTTATTTTTGGATGAAAAAAGTAAAAAAAAACTGCAAAATTGAAGGCTTATATCCACGCTTTTTGAGAAATTTTGGAGGTTTCGGGTAGAGCTGTCAATTCGAGTAAACGGGTCAGGGTTGGGTCGGTAAGAGTGGGTTGGGTCAACTCGGGTCGGGTCAATTCGGATTAAATCCATAACCTATGCGGGTCGGGTTTGTGTTGGGTCATGCTGGAGTCGTGTCACGTAGGGTCATACTTCTTATCTGGTTTGGGTCGGGTTAATAACATGTCGGGTTACAATCGGGTCGGGTGAACAATAGGTCGAGTTTAATTCGGGTTAAAACAGGTTAGGGTAATTCTCGGGTTCGAGTCGGGTTCGGTTCAAGTCAATAATTTACGGGTTAGAATTAGGTCGGGTCATTCTCGGGTTTGAGTCGGGTTCGGTTCAAGTCAATAATTTGCGGATTATAATAAGGTCGGGTCATTTTCAAGTCGGGCCATTCTTGGGTTGAAGTCGGGTTCTAGGCAATAATTTGTGGGTTATAATCATGTTGGGTCATTTTCAAGTCAGGTCATTCTCGGAGTCAAGTCGGGTTATTTTCAAGTCAATAAATTGCAGGTTACAATCAGGTGGGGTCATTTCCATGTCAAGTCACATTCGAGTTCAACTAATTAACTATAAATAGATAATTATCATTTTTATCAAGCTAATTATTTCCTTTGACTATAATATACATGACAATATAGTAGGGAACTATAGTTTATAATTTAGGAAGATAATTATCTTTTTTGACCATACAACAAATATATACTATATTTAACTCTTAAATTTGAGGATGATGCTCCTTTCTTTTGTTGGCTTGGACCGACTTGATCTCCCTAGACAAAATGCTTTGATCAACAATAATAAGGTGGTCTATATTGCATTTAAGGTGATTTGATATCGGGTCGGGAACAATTTGGGTTGAATTTAGGTCGGGTTAATAACAAGTCGTGTTGATTTCGAGTTAGGTTAGTAAGAAATCGGGTTGAATTTTTGGGTCGGGTTAGTAACAGGTCTGGTAAAATTCGGGTCAGGTCAATAACAAGTCGGGTTGATTTCGGGTCGGGTCATCTCCAGGTCAGTTCATGTTCGGGTTCGGGTCTCACATACTCGGGTCAACTTGGGTCTATGATTGGTTTCAGGTCGGGTTTGGATCACCATTTTTTCGGGTTCAGCTGGGTCGGTTAATAATCGGGTTTAAGTCGGTATTTTGGGTTGGGTCAACTTTTGACAGCTCTAGTTACAAGTCAATAATATGGTCGCATTTGAGTTGGTTCGGGTTCGGTCGGGTTTTAGTTCAGACTTTAGGTCAATTTTAATTAAGATCGTGTCATTTGGATTGAATGAGGCTGAGACATTGAGTTAAGTTTGTATCAAGTCATTTTAGGTCGGGTCCAAATCTCCTAACTATCCTTAGCTTTAACAATTTAGCCTACAATTTCTTAATTGATCTTGTGAAGGTAGGGAGGGATCTACCATTTTGTAGTATGTCAGCATTTATTTGTTGGTTTTCACCAAATTGTTTTTATATTCAACCGAAAATGGAGGAGGAAGGAAAGAAATACCCTAAATATGCTATTTATAACTTTGTGTAAAACATGTGCATTGAAAATTGTACTTAAAACAAATAAATCATAGCACAAACAAAAAAGAACGAACGAAACTCATCCAACCATTTTTCAGTGGAGAGAATAAATCGAGCAATTTGATGAGCCAACTCAAATATTTCCATCTACTCCCTCCGTTATTTTTAGTGAAATATTTTGAATTTTTACACTATTCACCTAATTCACTTTGATTAATGTGGTATTAAAAATGACAATGGATCGGATATTCGGAGCCTAAGGATACAGGTTCAATCCAAAAATTAATTGGACCCAAAATCCAAATCCAAGTCTAAATCCAAATCTAAGTCCATTAGGTGAAATCCAATTCCATGTCCATCGGAGTTTTTGGAGCTCCAAATCCAAGTCCAACTCCAATAGAACAATCGAATCTAAATCCAAATCCGCCTATATATATTATTTGGTTGTTTAATTGTAAATCGTAAATGCAAAGTATCTACTTTGTTATATTTTCTTATAATTTTATAATACCCCAATTGCTAGGCTTACACTTATTTTATATGAAGTATTAAAGGGAGTATAATTTGTTTTATACAACTTTAAAATGTAGCATATTGTTTCCACAAACACCACTATGATCTCTGATATGGAGTAGCTAGTAATCCGTATTGGGAAAGTTTTTTGACGCCATCCTCCACAAATTTGCCTTTGAAAACTTGATTGTTCTCTTCACTTGAAATAAGGTGATCTGGTTTGATTTTAACAAAAACTGGTCTAGTAGGAAGTTTTCTAGTTTGGTCCGATGTACAAATTTGACTAAATGTAGATAAGAAAAGTGAGCTACTTTATGTACACATACTCCTATAACATTACAGATAAATTGTTTTCAGTATATACTCTAAAAAGTTGGCAGAAAGTCCAAAAATATACAAACAATATCAGATAAGTTATTATAAACAAACATTATCTCCTATAACCCACTATTTTGGCGCATAAAAATGACTATATTATACGTAAATTAAGGGCCAATAATCTAGCTTAATGGTCCACTAAAAAGCACCTAATAAAGATGCACATTGAATATTTCTATTCCTTTGAATTCAAGTCTATTGCTTGCCTTGGACCTAAATCTAAGTCATTCTCACATTGGCTATTCAGATCAATTGTCTCCAAAAGTCCAAACTTTTTTAGCCCATGTCCCATTTCCTCTCCATAACCTTGTTTACATGATTTCTTACTGTCTGTTTGCTCTACACAGTTGCTATCAAATACTATGCTTCTGCTCCTCTTCCTCGGCCCCGACCCTTTCGTTCTCGATTGATCGAATAATGGGAGAACAAATAGGCATTGTTCTTGGCTACCCTTATCGGTAATCTCTTCGTTTTCGAGTCCTGTTTCTTTCTGCTCCGAGCTCTCGGATGAAGTCAAGGAGCTTTCAGCAGAACATACTGCATGTCTCATTATATGCTTTTGTTCTAGTGATAAATCTGTCACCTCTGTTAGACCAGAGAATGATGAAGTGCTAACCATGGAGACTAGTTGTGAAAGTTCGGCTTTTGCATGTTCGACTCCTGCTGCTGTGCAGTTATAGCTTGACAGTGTTTCCTGCGCTTTCTTCAGCACCTTCTGTAAATATTTTCCTTGAGCTTCGATTCGCAACTGCAAGTGTCTTTGTACCTATAATAACATGATATTTATCACATCATAAATAATGAGGATAAATTGAATTACTGTCATAGGATAAATGTGTATCTTCTTACCTCAATCTGTTCATGAAGTTTCTTTTGTACCTCCATCTGCACTTTTATAGCCTCGGATATCTGAACATTTCTGCAATGAAGGAGAACAAGAATCAGTAAAGATGTAAATCTTATCTGAATACAGAAAAGGCGAACATTGATGAATCTTACTCATTGATCTGTTCTTGAGATGGATCATTTATTTCTTTTTCCTCGCCGAATAGATTAAGCGTGTCCATGGCCTGGCTTTCTTCATAATCTGCATCATCTGGTTTAGATTCACTGCAGGTTTCTGATTGCTGAATGTGCTGATGATTCTTTCCAAGCCTGAATTTCTGCAATGATCGAAAAACGATGTGTACTTCAAAAAAACTCTGCTCTTTCTAGAAGCTAAAGAATATTAGCTAAGGTGACAGAAGCAGTAGATGAATTGCCTGTAAATGACTCTTCAGGTGATACAAAGTAAGTCCTGGTATGCCTATCACTCTCATAAGACCCTTCGGCGTTGCTTCTGCTTGATTAATGAATAAATGAAAAAGAAAGTATTGAATGAGAACATATAGAAATATTGTAAGATGAGCTAATGTTATAGAAAACAAAACAATTACAAGAGAAAAAGAATGAAGGGATTCGCTACGCAACTGTTAGCACCACCAAGCTGATCAACTGCTTCGACAAATCGTTGGTGAAGATCCGGTGTCCATCTGAGCCTAGGCTTAGCATCAGTAGATAAGACCAAGTTCATGTCTTGAGTTTGCAAATTTTGAAGATGACCCATGTTTCAGTATTTTTATGGAGGAATGACAGGTAGGAAAATAGCCAAAGAAGCATATAAATAGTAAGACTAATACAAGTAGTTTAATACAGAATAAGGTAACTCTGACCCTTGAAGCTCTGATGCTTCAAAATAAGCAGGAGAAGTGGGTTCTTTTTATATAAAAAAATGAGAAGTTGGTTGAACTTGTCCTATGTTCTCACTCCATATCTGGAAACATTTTAAGTGGGGTTCTATAAGGAATATATGCCCATGAGCTGGGGATGCTTTCCTCTCACCTCCCAAAAATATTCATGTCACCTTTTTTATTTTTTAGTTTTTGTAAAAAAAAAATAATTACCATTGTTTTTATTTATTTATTTTAATTTACAGGTTTTTAACTTGAGTTACCTCTCCTATGTCCTTTGACTTGAAGGGAAGTGGGAGAGAATCTCACTGAGACAGGAAAAACAGAGAAAGCAACACACTTCAACATGGAGTCTCAAAAGGATAGAAATACAAAGAAAAGAAAAGGAATAAAAGTGTAGCCTTTGTTTGTATCTTCCTTCACCCTCTCCTTCCTCTCTTATTCCCAGGGGAATTAGATAGCCCCACCATAATAAAGAAATAGAGTGTAGATGCGGAAAAAAAGATACTCTCCACGTCTCAATTTACCTACATCGTTTTCGCTTTTGGAATGTCCTAATTTACCTATCTTATCCCCTTAAATTTCACAGTCATCCACCTACGTTTCTGTACATCTTATGTCAAAAATTATGTCATTAGAATATGGAGCGAGTAAAATAGGATGGATCAGGTAAAATAAACTATCATTGATTGGAATTGTTTGTTTGAATGGGATATTTATGATTGAAAGGATATTAGACCTATAATGTATTCTCTCTTATTACTTTTCTTTCCCAAATTTTCTTTCATGTGGTTGAAATTGTCAGATTCTTATTGTTCCTTGTAAGCTAAAAGGAACCAAAGAATCAATTGATAGATTTTGGGGCACACTCAAGCCATCTGTATCATCTACTACAACCCAAATGAGAGTCAAATCAGCCAGTTCAATGTAACTGAATATGAATATGAATAAGAATATGAATTCCGAAGACCATACCCCTCCTATCCTCTTATCTCTACTAGGAATAGACAAAGATGAAACCGCATATCAGCAGAATTATCCATGCACAGAGAATCAGATTTTAGGAGCCGTGAGCCCGTGAGCATTATATACTGATAATGTTACAGAACTCAGAAAATATCCCCTTTATTTTGTTCTGAGAATATTTACAAGCAGTTTTAGAACAACTTATCACTGGCTCCGCTCCGTTGATATGCTCTAGGCTTTACTGTAATGAATAATAGGGGTAAAAGGTACTTGCAGCTAAGATTAGGTTCTATCCTTCAGCTCCAAGTCTAGTTTTGTCTAAATAATGATTAGCTTGACCAGAAAAGTTAATTCTGTTGTACTTTCCCTGTTTAATATTCCTTAACTACATCTGCAATTGCATATAGTAGTTCTTTCAAAGTAACAGGAAAAGATTAAAATTACCATAATCTTCTCCTGTAAAACTTCTAATGATGCATGTGAAATTTCAGGGTGAAGTTAGGAGCAGACCCAATAAATTTGATTAGAGTTACAAATTAGATATGATGTATATAATTTGGTTTAAACTTAGGTAAATTCCTAGGTCCGCCACTAGTGGAAAATACGACTATAAGTCTATAATAGCTCAATTAGTGCGGGATAATAATCATAAGTATGCATGAAAATTTCTCTCCATAACTTATTTTTACCAAGAAAATTGCTGAGCCAATAGAAGTATATGAAATGAAAATTCTATGCACACTTAATGTACATGTCTAGTCGCGCTAATAATATATCAAGGCTCAGACCTAGAAGGAGATGGTACAATTAGAAAGCATGTTACCAACTCTGATTTTAGCAACAGGCAAACAAGTTAGGAAAAAAATATCCTCTCTCTATTATTTTCTCATTAGCAGAAGACTTGAAAGCTAATCTTCATTAGAGGAGGTAACGACCTAACGTACACTAGAATATTATTAATGGAAATGCTTAAAAGTGGTCATATCTAGTTTTTATCTTCAAACAATATAAAGCAATCCACTTAACACGATTGATAACACTTCAATGATGAATAAAGAAAGTATACATTTCGCATACTAGATTAGGCCTGTAATCCATATCCTAAAACAAGCTAAAACTTAAGATAGCAAAGTGTTAATCACGAAAGAAAAGGGGAAAAAGTAAAGAAGCATAATATGGCGAACAACATATCCAAAAAGTCAAATTGATCAAGATTGATCTTCCTTTAGATTTCTTGGGTAACGGTCTAAGTGTTTGATAACTAAGGGGAATCAGAATTTAATCATTGATTTTCTAAAGTGCTGCTATCTTAGTGCCATACAATTACATGTTCTGATGCATTGTAAAATAATTTCCAGGATGTGAAAAAGAGAAAAAGATTAGATACCAGGTAACATTAGATGAAAAAAGAACTTCAACTATTAAAGGGGAGATAAAAAGAAAAAAATTAAGAGCACATATTAAGGGACAATGCTTTTGTATGCTGAAAGCATACAGGGGACTTTAAACCTGGGGATCTTAACTGGTTGGTCCACAATACTTTGACATATACATGTAGGGATTATTGCATATAATCAAAATGATCAGTGACGATAAAAACACATTAATCATATACTCGTCATAATGAAAGAAAGGAATCAATTTTTATGTAACAGAGTCTATGATGAAATGTGGCCCAAAGATTTGTAAAACAAGCAAAAAAAAAGAAATGTTGATGAACCTTTCTCTTTAGCTAGCTGATGTACTTAGCTCTTTAATCGCTTTAATATATTCCATAATAAGTAAAGTAGATTCTGGGGATGATGCTGAAAGAATCCTGTGTAATTTTTTTGGTTTGAAGGTGAAGTTGTTGTGATTTAAAACATAAAAAGTTTTCTTAAGAGGGGCAAAGGTGGTTCCTTCCTCATCAATTATTATTCGGTAGGGACCTCGTGAAGAAGATGTTTTTATAAAGCCAAAAGCATGAACATCAAAATGAAAAGAATATGGTCTCAGGAATCAAAAAAAGAACCCCAAGTCACCACCACTCCTACAAAGTAAAATTCATTCAGTTGCTGCAAACTAATACAAATGAAAATGTCATACTTACTGAAAATGACGCGAGCAGTATGTCACACGTTTAAATTCACCTTTCTGTAGTTACTTCTGATTTACGATCACTTTGGACTTGAAAAGAAGAAAAGAATAAGTAGTTAGCATCTATTTTTTTGTTTTTACTTTTACATGACAATTTACTATTTACATCAAGGTATAAACAAACTGGTTTAACTTAGATAAATAAATAGTTGAAAAGTAAATAAGCATTACCCCAAATTGAACAGATGTTCGACATTCCACGTGCAAGTTCGATGTCTACAGGTCAAGAACTGTATTCGGCGATGGTCCATCAACTTATCATTTCTTGAAATTCCCTCTTTGGAAGGGAACCTGGGGCAGCAAAGTGACAGAATCCCCTCTCCCCCCCCTCTCCCAAAAACAAGAAAACAATTGATATTTGATAAGCATAAAATGATTGGCAATGAATTGGCAGATAAGGATAGTCAGATATACGTGTGACATTCAGACATAATAATAAATATAGCTTAGAATTATTCTCTCGATCCATAATACAGTTGCTGGTGTAATTTGGACTAGTAATGTGACGACTAAACTTAGTAAGAGAGATTTATAATTATCAGGAACAATTATATCAGCATCCAGCTACATATGGAGTACATATTATATTCTGCATACAGGTTGTCAGAGGCAAACATTGAGCAAGGACAATAAGTTAGATTCTTTCATCTGATTTAATACTGAAATTTATAAGTCACAGATTATAGCATCAATATACCCTCAATAGTAATTTGTGTACTAGTTCTATTTTCGAGGTTTGTTATAGATTGATGCAGAATATACAACGCTTCAAAAAAGTATAACCAGGCCAACTAACAGTGGATATAAATCATCATAATTTCAACAAGTGAGAAAGAATAATTTAATTTCCCTCGTTTGTCATGATATAATACCTAGAACCATTACAAACAGAATGTCTTTGTCAAAGACCCCACAATTTAATCACATAGACAAACCAGAATCACTGTTAAAATATTCCATTGTATAATTTGATCAAGACTTATTCATAGATGACAGGATAATAAGCATTATTTTCTGATACCACATTATTTCAAAGTGAAACTAATAATACTGCAAAACTTTACTTGCAACAAGCACAGGACACTTCCACAAACGCCAAACGGGAGCCTAAAGCTAGCATAGCCATGAAATCTTCAATCTTGTGTTCAATTTTTCCAAGCCCTTTCTACAGTATAGTAATGTCATTTTATGTCACTGAGTCTGCTGATATTAGGTAACCTAGTATAATCCAGAACTAAACTGATTTTTATATGATCTGAAAATACTAGTATAGATTTGGAAGGTGTTCTGTTGTCTTATACGAATTATATCACAATAAGTTGACTCCTACTTCAAAAAAGTATGTTAGCTAATCACATATCAAATCAGAGCAAACAAATATACATCTTTGAGTTACTCTGCAATCTTATATAGTTTGAGCTCATCATTTTAATTCACATACCCGTGATCCTTGATACTTCGACCAATTATATGGATACTTGACACTCCATATTGGACTAAAGAAAGAACATTTTCATTTAAAGTTCAACACATAAACATGTACATAGTTCTAAAGTCTGAGTAACATAGTTGTAATCACAGGAATAAGAGTGCATACATCATAAACCTCCTCTTTACTTGGCCATTCCACACACAGAATGTCGTTAAGACACTATAACATGTTTATGTCCAATGGTATAACATGTTTATGTCCAATGTCGTGGCTACAATTACACTGATTTAAAACTAAAAACTTAAGACTATCAATTCACAATGCTAGGAAGGGAAAGAGGTATAATGACTTAAAAATTTAGCACAGCAAACCAAACTTATGTTTTTAGCTACAATGTAAAACACTTCGGAAGCATATCAGCCCACTGATAATTTCAGCCATACCAAGTGGAAACAAGAAACAAAAAAAATGTGCTTTGAGTCTCCATGCAACCATGCGTATGCAGTAGCACAGAAATTCATAGCACTGAAAAGTTGTTCTCAATTCTCATGAAAAACTTACCATGGACAACAATAATTTACAAGGAAAGGCTAAAGCATAAATCCTGACAGCATGTTATACTGGAAGCCATAAACATTAAAGAAGGAAAGGTAAGTAAACACTTAAAACTCTCCAGCTATGCGAGTTTTGTTAGTGGTTAAAAGATTCCTGAATAATGCTACTTTTTTCCAGTCTTATCAACAAAGAAACCTGGCAAAGGTATGATTTGTAATTCCACCTACTCCTTAAAAGTCCTCCAAAATACGACAAGAACCAGTCATTCCATTGCACAAATCACTACTAAGATCAGAATGGGAAACGCATCAATGGTATTACTCGAACTCTCCATTTCACTTTAAGTACTAGTGCACATCCTTAAACACTCCAACATAGGTATAATTTACTTCAATACTTTCATCTAGGACCAAAAGCATGAAACTTTTACCTTACAATGCCAACTTATGTGATTGTGTCTGCTATGAGGTTTCCCAAGATAAGTCCAGGTAACATAGGAATGCATATATGAAGTTTGGTTTTTGTTTCAATTTCTATTAATCTAGAGTGCACATATATTGATATATAGCCAATTTAACTAAATATGTCCAATGCCAGCTTGGCGGACTGCTTAGTGAAATCATGCCATTACATAAAATTAAGAGTTCAAACAATTTTCATGTAGCACAAATGTCACAAACTCATTTTATGTAAAGGCAACTTCAGATGCTTAACCTGCAATCAGACAATTCACGCAAACATAAGAAAGCAATGGTCATATTTTTTTCTTCTATGCATTAGAGGCTAACCTAATGGATGAAAAATCTAATATTAACAAAACAAAGATGATAAGCCTCTCAAACTGAGACATAATTGTGGCAAAATCCGTTCTCCTATGCCCCAATCCACCTTTATAGCAATATTCAACATTTCAACACAATAGCTTCTATAATCCCGCTGTACTAGCTATAAATATCCTTATAACTTTTAAGTGTGCAATTTCAGAGAGAGATGATTATATGCAGACAGAAGATGAACTACATGACACATCAGTCTAACATTACCGAAATTAGCAACAATATTCAATTCATCATAGTTCTGTCTTCACAGTACTAAGAAGCAACTGAAATACTAGGGAAAGAGTAAATCTTGCCAAATTTTTGATATTGTCATTAGGATATTGTTTATCTTCAAGCATGCAGTAACCACGCCCACCACTTCTCCTGCGATGACACATTGGGTATTTTTTCTTGCTTCAACCTCACATCAAAAATCACATATAGCATCTACAGATCTGTACGTGATAGGATATCAGAGGAAACAGAGAATTAGAAATGTGCTGGAATCAATTATAGACAAGTTAAAAGAGTCATCCCAGTCAAGCACATAATAATTTGGGTTACAAACTATGCTTCCTAAATTCATATCAGTGTTAACAAGAAATATGTAGACGATTTGGCACGTTCTTATTTTATGTTCAAACAGATCATAATCAAATATGATGATTATCAAAGTTGTCATGTATGGGTTAAGTAATATGTTTGTAGTGGGAAAAAGTGGCAAACTCTGATTACAGAGATGACAAGCAAAAAAGAACAGACAAAACACAGATTAACAGTTGATTAATAGTGACAATGATTAGGACTTTGAAACCCAAGCATAAACTTGTACAGCTTTGACAGGCTCTTTCAAACAATCATACCGCATCTTTTCTAGGAAAACGACAATAGAAAATGGAAATATTGAAATCTTTACGTTTGCCTAAGAGAATCAGCAATTGTTTCAAACTTCCAAGCTATATTAATGCTTATTTCATTGACTGTGATACAGCAATCACACTGCTTCATTTATAAGGAAGAGCACCTTGCCACATTAGACGGAATCCAAAAGTTAAATATAGCTTTGAAAAGTAATTCCATGTACAACATTTAAAACAAGTAACAAGCAAAACATAAAGACTAAAGTACAGTTCTTGCCATTGACAAGCAAAATCAAGTTGTTGAAATAAAAGCAAAAAAGATGAATAATAAACATCAAATTCAATAGCTTGAGATTTTCTTTAGTAATAGACTCATCGTTAATTTACATATCAGACTTTATTATGCAAAAACATCTTATCGGTTGAAACCATATACATCACAAAATGCAACTCATATTATGATGACCTGACCTAACTTGTACCATACATATTCTTTTTAGAAATCAGCCATTGGTACTTCTGCCTCACAATATCAGTTCATTCCAAAACAAACTTCTGAATTTACTTTCAATCCGACAACCATTATCCACTACTTTCACCTCTATGAAACTCATCAAACCTAAAAAATAAAGCATGGATCAAAAGTATTTTATTTGATAAAATACCTTAGGCACTTTTGTTTCATTTGTACATTCAGGATAAGTGTTTGTCACAGGTGAAGGGTGTACAGGACATTTCCCCCATGTCAATTGGCTGCAGCCAAACTACGACAAACATTCCCAGATATAAGCCCAAAGGCCTATCATATGAACCTCCTAATCCAAGAGTGTCATGCTCTTATTAGGAATTTGAACCCTAGTATCATGTCCAAGTACGATAGGCATATTGGGTTATTTGGGTATGCATAGAAATATTAGGACACTTCAATTTAAAAACCCCAAATAAAGAATCTTTCCGAGCAGAGCTAGAGTAGTCTGAGATATGTGTAAACTTGTACTTAACTTCAAATAAGACATACTCATATTCACAATCTATACCAATATGACAGGTTACGCTTGACTTTTGTTGTCAAAGTCAAAGTATGTTGATTTTGACTATTAATTTTAATTAGTATATCCAAGTAAATACTACAAAAGTACAAATTAAAGAACCAGAGTACAACAAAACATTGATCAATAGTCTATACTCTAAAATTGTTGGTAATAAGTAAAAGAAGCAAAAATGACATCATGAAAAAAGGCCTTCTTTTCGGTAGTAAACAAACTTATTGTGAGATAACAAAACAATCAAGATTCCATACTCCACCATTAGTATCTAAACAAAGGAGTACATTGTTATTTAGGACCTTAATCTCATAAATCCAATCAATCCCAAATATAGCAATAAATATCCTCGATATAGTAATTTTTTCTTGTAATGTCCTTAGAAACACCCAAACAAATCCCCTCCCCCCTCTTCCCTAATTAAGCAGTGATCATACTGGCATTCAAAATGGTGTTAAGGCTAAAATTAAGTCGCATGTGGACAAATTCTACCTTAGTACATATTCATGATATCCTTGAAATCAAGGGAAATGTAATCTACAAAGTAATACAAGTATATGAGCATTGAGAGCACCACATAGGATTGTCACATAATACAAGTAGTTAACCCAAAACTCAATTTTGTTGGTTTATTACTCTCAATCTCTCAACATCCCCAAATTTTATTCTCATTTTCTCTAAAATGTTTATCCATAAGCTTTGCTCTCCTCGCCTTATTTTCACTTATTTCAGTTTTATAAGTTCATACATGTATTAATTAAGTTCAAGTTTAAATACATCTCCAATTAGTAAGCATTTCTACAGGATGAGAGAGAAAGTTAGTGAGAGAGAGTCCCCAACCCCATCCAAACAACAGCCCCCAACACCAATCTTTTCCCAAGCACAACCATCATCCTCTCTTGCTCCACCCCTTCTACAACGCCCTCAGTCTTCACCACTCCAATCCTCCACCCTTTCTTCCTCTCTTCCTCCTACCCTATCCCTTGTCACCCCTTCACCTCTCCGATCAAACCAATCCTTCCTTGAGGTGCTAAAGAATAAACAGTCTACATCCCCTGTTTGTATCCAAGCAGCCTCCACCCCCCAGCTGAGTTCAATGCTGACTCTGAGTTGTTTATCCCTATTGAAAAGGCTGAATATGAGTCTTTTTGTTCTAACTGGATTGATTCAATCATTTCTAAACCTTGCGGGAAGTCATTCTCCACTGAGTTCTATGCTGAGAATCTCAACAAACTCTGGAAACCAAAAACTCCAACCTCAACCTTTCCAATTGGAAAAGGTTACTTCATTTCTAAGTTCAGCCATCAAGAGGATCTAGATCGTGTGCTTGGCAAGGGTCCTTGGTTGTTAAATGGTGCATTCATAGCAGTAGAGAAGTGGAAACCCGGGTTCAAACCATCAAGTGCTCCTCTAAACAGAGTGGCCTTATGGGTTGAACTTCCTGAGCTCCCTGCTGAGCTAAACAACATTACTATGTTGTCAAAAATTGGTAATGCAATCGGCTCCTTTGTTAAAAGAGACAACTCCAGAGCAATGAGAACGGCGAGAATTCTTGTATTGATCAATGAGGATCTTCCAAAGAAGAATCACATTTGGTTTAGGAATATCAAGCAAGAAATTTGTTACAAAGAGCCAACTCCAAAGCAATCGTTTCAGAAACACCCAGCTAATCAGAGCTCGCAAGCTACCTCCCAAAAAAAATCCAAAACAGTCTTCAGCTATCACCAATGCTTCAGATAAAATCAAAATCCATACTCAAAGTTCCTCAGTCGAAACCTCAGATGGTGGGTGGCAAATAGTTCCAGCAAAAAGTGCATCCTTGTCCTCTTTATCCTCTGGACAATTTAAGGTTAATTCTAGGGACCACCTACCAAAAGGTTCTTCTTTGAGAAAGGTCAATACGACAAATCAGTTCCAAGTGTTAAATTTGGAAGAAAAATTGTGTGGGACCCTTCATTTGAATAAACCTTCGGAAATTCCTATATCCCTGACCCGAAAATCCTCCCATAATCTTTTTTTCATCATTCCCAATTTTCTCTCTGACTGTCGCCGCCTGACCATGCCTTGTCACCTCCCCTGTCCTATCACCTTACCTCCATCGCCACTCCCAATATCCGGCGATTTTCAAACTTTAAACCACCCCCTTTCTATTATGGTTCTTCCCCAGAAGAAAATTGAGTTTCTCCCTCCTCCCTCTCCTCCCTTCAAAAAAAAATGGAAATCAGACAAAAAAAGAAAGAAAAAACCCAAGCTTTAATCAGGGCGATCCAACATTGCCGTCCTCAGCCCAGCCCGGTAAAGCCTATTACCTGCCAGTAAAGTTCCCTGATCAGGTAGCCAATAAAGCCCCCTTTTTTATTTCCGTCATTTATGCTAGTACTTGTTTTAAAGGTAGACTAGAATTGTGGGGGGAGTTAATCAATTTGGCGCCAACTATCAACCTTCCGTGGCTGGTATGTGGCGACTTTAATGACATTTGTTTTTCTCATGAAAAATGGGGTGGGAATCCTCATCCCGTGGATCAAATGCGAGCATATAAAGATACAATGGACATTTGTAATTTGTTGGACTTGGGTTATACCGGTCATAAATACACTTGGTTCAATAAGAGGAGGAATTCTCCGATTTTCGAAAGACTTGACAGATTTTGGGCTACTCCGTCTTGGATCCAATTGTATCAAGAAGCGGTTGTCCAAAATTTGCCGAGATTGTCGTGTGCCCATCTCCCAACCATACCCGAATTGAAGGAAGCCGTGTTTTCAATTGGAGCTTTAAAATCCCCGGGAGAAGACGGATTCCATGCCCTTTTCTTCCAAAAATTTTGGGAAACAATCCATTTAGATTGTTTCAACCTTATTTCTTCCATTTTCCACTCAAAAACTATTCCTACTGCTCTTAATAAAACGATCATTTGTCTTATCCCTAAAGTTCAAAATCCAACCAAAATCACGAGTTATAGGCCTATAAGCCTTGTGAATTGTTGTTACAAATTTGTCTCAAATATTTTGGTTAATAGAATTAGGCCCCACCTAAATTCTATTATTTCTCCAAATCAAAATAGTTTCCTCCCCGGTCGGGGCACGGAAATAAATTTCATAATTGCTTCGGAAATTGTCCACTCCATGGGTAAGAAAAAGAGAGGAAAGGAACCTTTGCTTTGAAAATTGACCTCGAAAAAGCTTATGATAGGCTAGAATGCCTTTTACCAAATTTTGTCTTCACTATTTCAATTTCTCCCTTGATACAATTGACCTCATTATGAGTTGTGTCACCTCCGTCTCCTCCTCCATTTTAATAAATGGCCACCTTTCTAGATCCTTCACTCCCTCTAGAGGATTGCGCCAAGGAGACCCTCTCTCCCCTTATCTATTCATTATTTGTATGGAATACTTTTCAAGAATGATCCACAAGGAGTGTGATCGTAAGAGTTGGAGTCCATTCCGTTTTAGAGTGGGGAAAACAAACATCTCTCACCTTTTGTTTGCGGATGATGTCCTCCTTTTTGGTCAAACCGACAAAAAAACTCTTAAAGCTTTGGCCTCAACCCTTTCTTCTTTCTACACCCTCTCCGGCCAAAAAATGAATGACCAAAAAAGTTCAATCCTTTTTTCTCCCACCCCTCAATCCATGATTGATGAGTTTGAGCAAGAGCTAAACATCACCGCAACCTCGGATCTAGGTAAATACCTAGGTTTTCCCCTCTCATCCAAAAAGCCTTCCAAAAGAAACCTCCAAGGTTTGGTTGATAAATTAGGTGCAAAGTTAGCTACTTGGAAGAGCAAGTCTTTAACCAAGGCCGGAAGACAAATTCTTATCCAATCCTCCCTTCAAGCCATCCCTAGATACTTCATGCAATCCATTTGGATCCCCAAGTACTTGAATTCAAATCTGGACTCCATTTGCTCGAATTTTCTTTGGGGTAGCTCGACCCATCAGAAAAAGATAACTTGGGTGTCATGGGATAAGGTTTGCAAGCCCAAAGAAGATGGTGGGTTGGGTTTTACCAAACATCACCAACTTAATTCCATTTCCCTTGCTAAAATGTGCTGGTCCGTCTACAACAATAAAGGATGGGCCGCCAATCTGCTAAAGGAAATCTACATTGACAAAAAAACCCAATCCAACTCCATTTTCCAAGGGATCCTTCATTTGGAAAGGTTTGGGTAAGGCTTGGCCTTTTTTCAAGGAGAGTATTGTTTGGGATGTTGGTGATGGTTCGATCATAAGTCTTTGGGAGGATAAATGGTTGATGCATTCTTATCTTCGTGATTTTTTGTGTGGCCCAGTTAATCTCAGCTCTCTAGCCCTCCCTCTTTCTGCTATTCATTCTTGCTCCAAAAATCAGATGGAGGAAAAGATCACCTTCCCTCTCTCGGATCAGTTGTTTGATCTCATCCAATCAGTTTTCTTCAGCGCAAACAAGGATTCTCACTTCTCTAGTTGGACCCTAAAGAGTAAATTTGACTCAAAAAAAGCCAAACTTGCAATTCAATCTCTTGATAACCTTCATGCGCCACCTTTCAATTGGGAGTTGATTTGGAAATCTAACACTTTCCCAAAAATCAAGACATTTCTTTGGCTCCTAGCATGGGAGCGAATTCCTCACAGAGAAAATCTATCAAAGAAAATACAAAATTTCTCTCCTAAATGTCAGTTCTGCCCTGGTGAAGATGAGACTTGTTCTCATGTTTTCATCCATTGCACTCGAGCATCCGAATTCTGGAACTCTGTCACTTGCCCTTCCCTTTTCTCGGGTGACGACTCTTGGCTTGAGTGGTTGTCCTATAATCTGAAGCTTGATACAATCACCTCCTATTCAATCCCTTGGAATGTCATGTTTTGTTTTGTTCTGTGGCATTTATGGTTAAGGCGAAACGCTTGGCTTTTTTCCAAAACAAACATCCCTCTTTCTACTGCAATCTCCCAGTGTATTTGGGCTGCTTCGGAGTTCTACTTCTCTACGAAGTATAACAAAGAAAGTCAATTGTGATGCTTCCTTTGTATCTTCCACCAAAGAGTCGGGTTGTGCAGTGGTGTGTAGAGACAGCAGGGGCTCTTGGATTGTTGGTATAAGTTGGAAGGGGTATCTCCCTTCTAGCCATGAAGCAGAACTAAAAGCCATTGAATTCCATCCTAGTTTCTGATGCAAAGAGGGCAATTGATGAAATCAGTTCCAATGCTTGTATGGCTAATGCACCTTCACTGCTATCAAAATGCAGGGACCTGAGAATGGACCTCCATCTGGATATGCTCTTTGAAATTGAGAAGAGGGAGAGCAACGCAGTAGCACTGAAAACAATTTGTCCCCTTTGACTGGTGATGTCCTAGCGATTATTGCTTGTAATATACCTATTAACTAATTAATGCATCCCTTATTTCAAAAAAAAATATTAAGTTCAAGTTTAGGTCTTTGTATTGAGAGAAGAAAGATCTCATTATAAATTATAGTAATTGCTATTTTTTTCTTACAAAAAAATTAATCTTAAGTATCAAGATAAGTAGAATTTAGGGGAAGACAAGTTCAATTCAGATTCATGTAAGATAAGTTTAGGGTTAATATGTTCAGAACTTTTTGAAAATTATAAATTTCTGATTAAAATCGAAAAGAGCTTAAATATTCTTTAAATCAACAGCCATATTGCAATGAAAAATTGATATCATATCATTGAAACAAATATAGAAATGGGTTATAATTTGCATTGAAAAATTCATATCATATCCACTAAAAAGGGAAAATTACCCAGAAATTTAGAATAAGAATTATAACAAAAATACAGCAAAATAGGAATTCTATGAATAAGAATTTACCTAAGAAAGGCGCTCACAATAAAGTCAGCAAGTGTGATCATTGACGAACTGTTGAAAGGAGAATTGAAGAAACGGGATGTTTTAGGTGGAAACAAAGAGGATAATTAAGCCCAAACCATTTTGGTCCAGACTCCAGACAAATAACCAAATTCTGACGAGCTTTTTTTCACTATTCATATACGACTACGACTAATTTTACTCATAATTTTTTTTTAATGTATTAAAACAAATTTTGTATCTCGATACTTTTTTCGTTACAAGATGACACAATTTGACTTGTGTACTATTCACATAACTTGCTTTGATTTCGTTTTGTGGCTTCGTGATGAGAAAAAAATATAGTTATGTGGAGTCTTGTTAAATTCGTCTCAATACCTAGTTTTTAGATGTCAAATTTTATAATTTTTACTAATATATAATAAAGGATGTATTTTATTATAAAATATATATTGACAAACATGTTATCTAATATGAAACGGAGAAAATATATGTTACTCGTATTAAATACTTGTACATAGTAGACTAGGAGTTTATTCTATTGATTCCGATTCCATAGCATAGTGTATATTTCATTAAAACAAAATCCACCAACTTTACCATACAAATCAGTAAACAACACATTTTTGTATTACGAGCATGTAAGATTTTCAAACTATATGAGTACGTGTCCAAGTGAACATGTCAATTATTCGAAACGAAGCAAGTATGCAATTGTTTTATGTTGTAGACTTCTTGTTAAGGTTGGGCTAACTTCTTGATTTCAGACATAAAGCCCAAAGCCAATATCTTGAATCTTGATTACAAAACACGAAACAAAAAGAAAAAAACAAAATGTTGTAATTTTTGTAGAATAATGGCATTATTATCCATTGAAATCTTGTAGCTTAATGATGAGATCTAGCTAATGGAGCAAAGTGCTTAACTTTTATGATTTTACAAATTGCAAAGAGATAAGCTATTACTTCATTATAAGTAAGTGGCTCACACATCAAACCCACTTGTTATTTATCTTCCCACTATCTTTTTTAATTCATGTTTTTGCTCTTATAATTTAGGCTTTTATGATTAATTTAAAGTGTCTAATCTTAGATTTCTTTTCATCCCTTGAATTGATACGATGAAATCCAATCTCAACAAATTGTGGGTCCTACTCCATTGAGGGAATTATTGAGTTGACTTGTGTTGTTGTACTTTGATTGAAAGGTGTTTGATGAAAGTCCTCAATGAAAGTTGTCATTCAAGATTACCCCTTTCAATCTTTATAGCTTTTGATTCCTTGGATGTGTGCCACGTAGACTTTTTTTTTTTCCGAATAAACTAACCGCTTGTTTGGTTGATGGTAATTTATTACGATTTTAGTAGTCTAACATGACATTTGGTTGATGATAATATATTACGATTTTGGTAGTCTAACATGACAATAAAGTAGTATGTCATTGTCCGTGGTAATGTTACCACTTTACCGATGTATAACATGGTAAATTGGTAATGAAAATTTACTAAGAATGTGTTGAGTTATTCATAAATGCTTTAGTATCATTTTACTTATAAAATTAGACCAAATTCAGAGACTTTACCAAAAATAGGCTGGTAAAGGTTTTCTATATAAGAAGAGTGATTATGAATTTGCTGATTGGATGAATGATAATTGTTCGTAATTGGTTGAACGATTTGCATTAAGTTTTCTGTGATTCCTTAGATGTATTTGGGCATGTTAGTCAGTTCAAATATTCACTTTACTATTTTACATCAATTGTACTTGTGATAATGTTAGTATGAGAAATCAGTAAAATCATCGGCTACATGCTGCAGTGCTGCCTGTCTGAATCATGAATAAGTGAACACTGAAACATTTTAGTAATAATCCAACCGCGACTGAAAGATACAATCTTGCTTAGAATAATGATCTCATGACACTATGCATGCTTTTTTTATTACCATTTATAAAGCAGAAGATCTAGCATTACATGAGAAGTTTATTACATGTACCACCAGGTTCTGACTTTTCTGTGTAACAGAATACAGAAACTAGCCTACTAACTGACCAATCCTTTAGTCCTTTACATAGAGCTTTACACTAGATAGATGTTGGCTGATGAAACTCTACTCTTAATACCAGGTTTAGATCCGAAATTGCCATCAATATCATATAGACATATTATTGTACACAGGTGTATTATGCAGTGTACCTGGCATTATCAAGGTGGTGGTGGGGTGTGGATTGGATTAGCTGACGGTGGTCCATAATCGTCTCTCTCGAAATCCATCCTACCCTTGATAAAATCGTCCTCTATTTTATCGTTTAATATATACTGACCCTGTAAGAAAACAGAACATAAAATTGTTACAGGAAAAGAAATGACTGACACGTACGTGGTGTATGATTTGCATACAATCATATACGAAGAAGCATATACAAATACCTGTTGCATTTTTCTTGTTACTGCAATTTCTCTTCTTATATTAGGGATATTGTTGAGCCCTGATTTTGTTACATTTCAAACAAATACGTAGTATTAGTCATGAAAAATATATAAAATGATCAATTATTGAGGATTTAAAATGGTTTTTCTGTGTTTTGAATTACTTGAAACAGGAACTGCATTTGACGAAACAAGGTAAAAACAAAAGAGCATGAGCACAAAGAGATGAAGTCTGTAGGCTGCCATAATATTGCTTCACTTGAGGTATAACTCGGCGGTAGTTGGGGTACTATAGAGGTTTGTACCTTTGACATTTTTATAGTGTAGGCAATGTTTGGAAATTTAAGATAGGAAAGTGCACATCAGCACACATTTGATGCTCCTGATATTACGTAAAGATATTATTATTTGTTCATAGTATGAAATCATATACTCCATCTTTTGGTAGGTTTGTTTTTATCTTATCAAATATTGTTATGTAAATATTCTTAAAAATAACTTCATTGAATCATAGTGAATGTATGTGGTTTGAATCTCTTTGAACACCATACAATGCATACAAAGCCGTATCATCTCATTAACATACTTGAGCTTTCCCTATTGTTTTTCCCTCCAATTAGTACATGGCACGTACAAAATTTATCTTAGTTATTATCATATCTGATATTATTAGGGAAATATTTTCATGTTATCTTTTGTATTCAATTGATGTATATCTTGTGATTCATGTAAATCATTAATGAGTCATAGAGATTGTATTAAGCCAAAAAAATAAAACTTTGATATCTTTTGGACGATAACTTGATGTTTCTAAAAGTTAAGTGTCTGTCATACCCTTTTTGTCTCTGCCTTCAAATAATCATATTAAATAATGGACATATTTTGTTATGATATGGTTCTAAAAGGCTCTTGGGATATAATTTTTTTTTCTCCTCTATGAATTTTGTGCATGTTTGATGAATAATGTATAGTGGAAAACATCAATTGGAATTACAATACTTAGTATGTCAAACTCTAATAAGGAAAGTAGAACCCACCATATACTCAAGTGGAGGAAAATGAGTAGCTTTCAAACAATAGATTATTTTACCACCTGAGTAAGTCCACTCTATATCTGATAAAATAAGCATGTAAAAAATTTAAACTCAGGAACTTATGTGCTTTCAGAGCTTCATTCAAAATTCCTCTGCTACACCCAGGTGATTGTTCTGTATGTATAGCTTAAAGGACAAACTGGTTTGATGGTTTAATTTGAACATATTCTTCTTCTAAATATTTTAAACACGAATTAATTTATGGTGCTTATCATCAACTTACTTATCAGATAAAAATTACATTATGACCAAATCCAATTGTAGGGGTCCAAATTTTACTTGGATTGGTGGGGATACTCAAAATCAGATTGTTAAGTCTATGAGCAAACCCACAAGTGAGTGAAAGTGTTGTTCCGCATTGAAATAGTATAAAAGTGAAGATGAGTTTCGGAATGTGTATCCCACATTAAGAAAAGATAAAGTTGTGTCCACTTTATAAGACTAAGGGGTTACTTTCTTCATTGGCATATGGTTTTAAGGCGGAATCTCATTCGTGACAGGGAAAAAAAATTATAAATGGTAAAGCTCTTCTATTTAAGAATACTAAAAGCTCTCCGATTGCATATACTTGCTCCACTTTCCATTATCGGTCATTTTAAAATACTTGCTTCATTTCCTTATTTGGAATGTTTTTACAATATTTAATCCATTTGTCTCAACTAGTGGACTCAATCTAAATCATATTTTATTAATTTCATATTCTCTCTCCTTCAATTCTCTCAATTACTTGTTTTTTTTTTTTTTTCAATTTTTCATTCTTTCACCTACCAAATACCTGTTGCATTCTTCTTGTTACTACACTTTCTCTTCTTATATTTGGGAGATTGTTAAGCCCTAGTATAATTACACAAACAATCAAACAAAGATTAGTCAATTAAGAAAAAGATATAAAATGATTTATTATTGAGAATTGAAGATAGTTCTTCTGTATTTTGAATTACTTGAAATGGGGACTGCGTTTGACAAAACAAGGTTAAAAAATAAAATAAAAAATAAAAGCGAGCATAAGCACAAATATATGAAGCTTGTGGCCTGCCATTACGACTTCGTCCCAGAATCAGGACCCCTCTTATATTGTTTCACTTGAGGGTATATTTTGACAGTAGTTGGGGTACTATAGTGGTTTGAACCTTTTGCATCAAAAAATATAGTGGTTTGAACCTTTGACATATTTATAGTGTAGACAATATTTGGAAGTTTAAGATATGATAGTACACAGTTGATGCTTTTGATGTTACAGATATTATTTGTTGTTCATGATTTGTATCATGTATTACTTGACAGGTTTGCTATTATCTTACCAAACATTGTTATGTAAATATTGATATCTTTTGTAGTTTGGTTCAAGTATACCTTTTAATAAATCATAATGATTGTATTAGGTTTGAATCATTTTGTAACACTGTACATAGCTGTATCATCTCATAAACATAATTAAGCATTCAGCACTATATTTTTACCCTTCAATTAACACATTGCAAGCACACACTATCTCTTGGTATCTTAGTTATCATATCTGATATTATTATGGAAATATTTTTTAAATTAGCTTTTGTAATCATTGATGTATATCTTGTGATTGATGTAAATCAATAATGAGTCATAGAGATTGTATTAAGCCAAAAAAATGGATGTCTTTTGGAGGATAACCGGATGTTTCTGAAAGTAAAGTGTCTGTCATGCCCTTTTTGTCTTTGCCTTCGAATAATCATATGAATTTGGACATATTTTGTTATGATATGGTTTTAAAAGGCTCTTGGGATTTTTTCCTTTTTCCTCTCTGTAATATCTGTGCATGAAGCATGTTTGATGGCTGATGTATAGTGGAAGACATCAGTTGAGAATTATAATACGTCGTATGTCAAACTCTGATAAGGAAAGTAGAACCCACCATATAAGTAATAATAAGTGGAGGAAAAGAGTAGAGCTTTCCAATAATGTGTGTTATTTTACCACCTGTTTAAGTCCACTATATATCTGATAAAATAAGCATGTAGAAACTTTTTACTCAGGAACTTGCTTGTGTGCTTTCAGAACTACATTCAAAATTCCTCTGCTGAAGCATGTGATTGATATGTATGTATAGCTTAAAGTAAAAGCTGGACTAATAGCTTAATTTGCACATATTCTTCTTCTGAGTATTTTGAACACGAATAAACTTTTGGTGCTTAACATCAACTTACTTAACAGATGAAATAAACATTCTTACCAAATCCATTTGAAGGGATCCGATCTTTATATGGATTGGTGGGATACTCAAAATCAGATTGTTAAGTTGAGCTGTAAAATTGTAAGGTATTACATGTTTGCAAATTTACAGTGGTGATATTCCAACTAAAAAAAATATAAATGATATTTAGCTCATCTGTTTAAGAATACTAAAAGCTCTCTCTTTTGCTTAGCATATCAAGTTACTGAAAATTGATGCGAACAACCTGTGTGTGAGGTTGTTAGAATTGAGACCCTAGTTTGCGTCAATTCTACAATGACAATTGATATGATTGTGTAGTGTCTTACAACTATTAAATAGGTGATATGAAGCTGAACTTTCATACAGTTACTAGCTAGCTTACTACACCTTGTGGTTGTGACTTGTGAAAATGAGTCCCCCACCTCTTCCAAGATAGGATCTTCACATAAGTATTAGTTCACAATGAGCTTACCACAGATTCAATGCAAGTAAGGCGCCTTTTTTCACATTTCGGAAATTTTATGGTTTGTGCAGCAGAACTTTTACCTTGTGGTCAGCAAACATCAAAAAGTTGGACATTGAACATTATCTTAGTAGCTGTACATGCTAATATTCAACCTGCCAAAAGCTCCAGGTTTGTATTCTAATTCTGTTTCACATTCAGTATAACAGAATTACATGTTACCTATATAATTTTATATCTAGCAGCTCATTATTTTTGTAACATTTGTCATTCTGTTGTGTTTTTTTCTCTGTTATACAGCCCTTCTGTCCTTTTTTTTCCAGCTTTATTGTACTTGTGTTAATATTAACAGGAGAAATCGGTAAAAGCACCCTGTCTGAATCATAAATAAGTGATCACTGTTCTGTAAACACTTTAGTACTAATTTTAGCCAAAAGCTTAAAGTTAAAAAAACTGACAGTTCAAATCTTGTTAGATAAGTATCTCATGAGACTATGTTATCATCATCAGACATTATTCTTATTCGAAAATAGAAGATCTAGAATTACATGAGAAGTTTATAACACTGACTAGGTTATGACAATTCTGTGTCACAGAATACAGAAACTAGCCTTTTAACTGACCAACCCTGTATATTCAACCAATATAGGTAGGGTCGGCTATGTAAATTCCTAGAAGACAAACCGTTGAGAATACATGCATGAGTGATGATTGACCCTTACAATTAGACACTTAGTGTTGGCTAATGGAACTCTTCCCTGAATTAAGGGTTAAAATTCAAACTTGCCATCATATGGACATTCTATACACTTACCAGAGTAGTTTTTCTTAATAGCTGTAGAGATAAGCAGTGTAATTGGCAATTTGGCATCATCAATGTGGTGGTTTTGGGGTGTGGATTGGATTAGATGACGGTGGTCCATAATCATTTTTCTCAAAATCCATCCTACCCTCGATAAAATCTTCTGCTACTTTATCCTTTGATACCATCTGATCCTGTTAGAAAACAGAACAAATTTACTACAGGAATAGAAATGACTCAAATGACTGTCAATCTATCATACGTGATGCATCCATTGCATACATAGAAGTAAAAATACCTGTTTCATGCTTCTTGCTACTACAAATTCTCTTTCTTTATTCGGGAGATTGTTTAGCCCTGAAATCGTAACACAAACAATCAAACAAATATCAGCCAAGGAAAAGATATAAAATGATCAACCATTAGTGAAACTTTAAGATGGTTTAGCTGTGTTTTTATTACTTGACATTGGGATAGCATTTGACATCAGAAGGTAAGAACAAGCGAGCATGAGCACAAAGAGATGAAGCATGTGAGATGCCATTATATCTTGCTTCAGTTAAGGTATTACCTGATGATAGTTGAGGTAGTATTCTATAGAGGTTTATACCTTTGACATATTTATAGGAAAAGATATGTTTGGAAGCTTAAGATTTTTGTCATTATTTTATTAATTATAAGAATTTTTTTGGTCCAAATGTAGATAAGCTCTCTCATATTAAGCGAAAAAAGTCAAATTATGGGTTTCTTTTGGACAATAACTGGATGTTTCTGAAAGGTTAAGTGTGTCGCGCACTTTCTATCTCTGCCTTCCTTAGATGAATCATATGAATTTGGACATATTTTGTTATGATGTGATTCTGAAAGGCACTTGGGATTTTTTTTTCTCTATTATTTCCGTGCATGATTTGTGAGGCGTGTTTGATGACTGATGTATAGTGGAAGATATCAATAATATGTCAGTCTCTGATAAGGAAAGTAGAACCCACCATAGAAGTGGAGGAAAATGAGTAGCTTTCCAACAATATGTGTTGTATTTACCACCTGTTTAAAGTCCCTTCAGTGTCTGATAAAATAAGCTTTGGAAATTTCAGACTCAGGAAACTTAGGTGCTTTCCGAACTTCTTTATTCATCATTCCTCTACTGCATGCCTATCTTACGCCTAGCTTAAAGACCGAGCTGGTTTAATTTAAACATAAGCTTCTTATGAGCATTTTTTGGTGCCTTAACAGTAAAAAAAACTTACGAGACAAGAAAAAATAAATGCATTATGCACGATTGTAGGGATCCAGATTTTCTTTGGATTGATGGAGATACTCTGGATCAGATTATAGATTGTAAGATCTTACATATATATTTGTAAAAAAGTATGCTGAAGTAATAGTCCATAGTTTTACTAGCTTACTTCACCTTGTGGTTGTGAAAAACTGAAAATGCAGTACTACCAATGCATTTTGAAGCCCCCTTCCCCTTCCATTATAGGATGATGTTATGTTGACATAAGCGTTAGTTTTCAATGAGATGCAAGTAAGTCGCCTTTTGTCACGTTTAAGAAATTTTATGAGGAACATTTTTTTATCATAGGCTTGAAATCATTCTGAAACTCTTCATATCTCTATAATAGACTATAATAGTTTTTCAACCTTTTGTAGTCGATGTTATCCTTGTGGTCGGCCAACATCAGAAAGTTGGGCATTCAGCATTATCTTAGTAGCCGTACATGCTAAAATTTCAATTTGCCAAAACCTACAGGTTTGTCTTCTGTTTCTGTTCCTGTTCCAAACACCTAGAAGCATAATCACATGTTACCAACATCATCTGTTATATAGCTACTATATATCTTTATGACATTTTTAATGCTATCTTGTTGAGTTTTCTCTTTGTTACACGTCCCATCCTCTCTCATCATAATGTTTGTAGTAATATCTTTCTTACTAGCTGAACTGTATTATTCATGCTTAAATTCCTGCTTGCTATAAAAAGATTATCCAAGTTTTATTATAAAACTTGCAGATTTGGTAATTCGGAAAATGGATTTAGACATTTAGTTACTAATAGATACTCTATAATTGATTTCCATTGGATGTTCGAAAATCTTTGCTTGGAAAGAAAAGATTAAAAAAAAAAAAATTAAAACTGATGGCTGATATCGAGTTTATGTCAATTGCAAGTGAGGATGAAACCATAGGCCCGAAATTGATTGGCTTTTTGAGGTCTTTATTGAGTGGACAGCTATGTCATTAAGTAATGTGTGGTGAGAGTTTGCATGCCTTTATCAGACAGTGGTGCTGGCTTATAGATGTGGTTCGTTTAGGTATCTGGAATCTTAGTATGAAGTGGAGTGAATGACCAGTTTGTTGATAACTTAACATATTTTGAACCAACTTAATGTGGAAGCATAGGATGCAATCTTGAGTTTGTTGATTTTAATACATACATAATGATGTGAGCACTTTAATGTGAATCTTTGGCATTTGGACCACCCTTTCCCCCACGTACATACTAGAAAGGCAGAAACTTTTGTGTGTTGTATTCTCTCCGTTGAGACCACATTGCTATTCTACGTAGTCCCAAAAAATAGGCCATGATACTAAATATATTTGGTTTGTTGAAACTGGAATTCTCCTGTATTATCGATTACTCTAATTAAAAAAATTTAAAAGAAAGATGACTTAGGATTGTTGAAAATGTAAAAAGCTTGTCATTGAAGTTGAGATCCTTTGAAATGGGTACCAGTTATTCTTTTAAAAAAAAGGTACCAGTTATGCATGGCTTCTTCTGGATTTATGCAACGATTCTGATCATCGCTTTAACTTACAATATTGTAATTGCTTGCCAGGATTTTTTTCATGCAGATTCAGATGATGGCTTACATGCTTCAGGTACCTCTTGCTGTCATGATTCATTTTACAAGCTCAAAGTAGGGTCCTGATATCATTTTTTTTTTTTTACAAAGGGCCTTGATATCATTAAACACTTAAAACTCTGGGAACTTGATTAATTGAAGCTTATTGTGCATCTAATATTGAACGATATCTACAAGTTCCAAGTACAGAATGCAGCAATGTAACCCATGTTCCACTTTGGTCTTTACTTGCAATAATGACTTTGAACTGTAAACGAAATGCTGTGTATAGCTAGTTTGCTACCAAAGGGTAAAATAATGAAAAGGTAATAACATCTGGAAAAGATCAAAGTACAGGCGTAGGGAAAAGGAAAAGGAAAAGTAAACAATTTTGGAGCAGATATTAAGAGAAAAATGAGTAAGGCTATTGATGAACTCTGACATTAATGTGTTACTATATTGCTGTTACAATTAACTAGGGAAGGGGATGTGCTTATGAAAAGAAATGAAACTCATAAGATTGGACTTGAACCCCTGAAAAACTTTATTTTTTCTGTAATCATGTTGAAGAATCAAGAAATTTGTTTACCTTCGAGTTCCTGAAGTTCCAACTTGGCTGCACTCTTGATCTTTACATACATATCTTTCAGTTGTAGTAATCCAATAGGAAAGTGGCCTGGTCCATCGAGTGAATCTTTCGTGAGTAGCATTTTGACTGCAGTCACTTCAGTCACCACAGGCTATTTTGGTGGTCCAACTCAGTTTGTATGCACTTGTTCTTCCTTTAGCTCCTCCTACTGCTGATTGGTTTTAAGACTCAAAGGGACATTATATTAATTACTCAAATTTTCTGAAATAGACAATTATCTGGAGATGGTCTAAACAGACATTTCTGTAATTGAAGTATTGAACTGGTTTTATGTGACTGATTCTATAGGTATCTAGCCTTTATGAAAAATATTATCTCACAGCCGTCACAGGTTAGTGGTGTAAACTCATATAACTGAACATACCTACATCATATGTCTACCTCTACTTTTCATTCTCAAAATCACTGGTGCCATTAATTTGTTGACAGTATGTTACTTCCAATTAGCACTTTAGCTGCCACATCTGTTTTGACAGGAAAAGAGAACGATATTGGTATGGAGACTTTACCTTGCAGTTGGACGCTTCATAGTTCATACCACTTTGAATGATGGACAGATGCAGGGGAGACTGGCTTAGAGGAGTGCAATATACTTGGGAGTAGATTAACTTTTAGAGTTTCAGACAACAATTCTGAGGTACTCTATCTCTTGATACAGATTATTCTTGTTAAAAAGTTTGTTATGTACATATTTCAGGCAGTGTTCCTGCATACTAAATTTTGACGCGTGGTATGTCAGAGAGTCAGACTCATATATGTATTACCTGTATGGCTTTATCTCAGTATCTGACACCCATACCAAAGTACAACACAAATGAAGATGTTAGTAGTGTAAATTTCTGGCAAATAGAGTTAAACCTGTATTAGTCATGTTTATTAGAAATCTGCAGTATTTGTTTTTTAATCAAAATGCTACAATTATACAAGTATTTTTTTTTATAACTGTTATCCTAAGAATTTGTTCTGTCATGAGGATTGCAACAACATGAACTTGATTTGTTTTGTTGTTTGTCATTAGTGTTGCTGTTGGCCCAAATTATCTAAGCTGGTGGATCATTTGTGTATATTCTAGAAACTTTAAGATGAATCAAATAAGGTTAGTGCTCACCTTTGCACTACATAGTGTCAATAGATCTCATCTGCATCCAGTAAGAGTGATAAAAAGGTTCCGGGTTCAAAGCTCATCCACGTCCCAATATACATGAAGTAAGATTTCATTTTGCGTTAAGAAAGCTTCTTTTAGGGTAAGATATTTTGTATCTAGTAAATTTCCTTCCTTGTTCTCTCCTCTTCTCATTAACACCACTTATAATCCGGATTTTTTACGAAAGTAAGCTTAATTGGCAAACAATTTACCAATCTAGACGCGTGGCCAAACTATTTACGAAACTGAGCTTCTGACATAAAACGCTGCCTCGGTCAGCGTTTTACCTTTGGTTATTATTATTTTTTATAAAATTTCGTATTATGTGAAATACAAATTTAAAAAAAAAAATTGGAAATACAGTAAAACGCTGACTCAGTCAGCGTTTTTCTTGTATCCATAACAGAGAGAAACGCTGACTGAGTCAGCGTTTTACACCTAAGCATAAAACGCTGCCTCAGTCAGCGTTTTATCTGCTGGCTGAAGGCAGCAACAGCAGGCCCCCAACAGCAGCCAGTGCAGCCCCCTTCCACATCCATCAACACCACCACCCTCCTCCTCCACATCCTCCACCACCCTCTTCCACATCCACCACCACCATCACCCTCCTCCTCCACATCCACCACCACCACCACCACCACCACCACCCTCCTCCACATCCACCACCACCACCACCACCCTCCTCCTCCACATCCACCACCACCACCACCCTCCTCCTCCATATCCACCACCCTCCTCCTCCAAATCCACCACATCCACCACCCTCCTCCTCCACATCCACCACCACCATCACCCTCCTCCTCCACCACCACCACCACCACCACCACCACCACCCTCCTCCTCCATATCCACCACCCTCCTCCTCCAAATCCACCACATCCACCACCCTCCTCCTCCACCACCACCCTCCTCCTCCACATCCACCACCACCATCACCCTCCTCCTCCACATCCACCACCACCATCACCCTCCTCCTCCACATCCTCCAACACCTCCACCACCCTCCTCCTCCACATCCACCACCTCCACCACCCATCCTCCTTCACATCCACCACCTCCACATCCACAATTTATTTTGAACGAAATGAGTCAAACGTGGACAAATAAGGAATTTGAAATTCAAACAAGACATAAATTCATTCAAATAATTATTAAAATAATAATGTAATGTAAGTGTTATGTACAACAAACTAGAGAAGGTCATTACAGCAAATAAATCAGATAATTCTATCCTATTTTGACTCATCAATTCGGTGTAACGACTCTCTATCCTGTATGTCCACTCTCGGCCTTTGACGACGGCTGTAGTGACGGACCGTGGTAAATGGGTTCGGGCGTACTGGCGGAGTCAGCTGGCTAGAAGATGGGTCATCAGGATGACGTAGGGGCGCGGAACTGCGAATGTCGTACTCTTCTGCGCCCGTGAATGACGAAGGATCACCCCACAGCTACTCTGGCCAGCCTCGAACTGTGAGTGACTAGAGTGGCCGCCATGATCGTCCCGGGGGTGGACGAGATAGGCGTGACCATATCTCTGCAAGGTAGCCATGCCCATATCTCGCACCCGCTCAACCTGTGCTCTGGGCGGCTCAGGTATGCTTGGAAGGACGTCCGACAGTGCGTCAACCATCGCCGTCATATCCAACGCCTGCAGTAATTAAGGATGAGTTAGTTGAATGATATACAAATTTAAAATTGATAAAGATAAGTTAATCAAATACACTTACATATCCCCTGATCACGTCAAAGGATGGATGGTAATGTGCGGATGGCGGTGTGTAGCTGGGGTTGATGAAACGTCGTGTAATCCGCATGTACCACTCCATGTATGGATCGTATGGATCCATAACGCCGTGGATGGGGTCACCAGTGACGACGAACTCCAACCGTCGATGCCACAAGTCAATGTACTGGGCATGCTCCGTCCGCCAGTTCCTGTCGCTCTTTCCCCGACGGTCAATGCGGTGCAGCCGGGCACTAGTTGTACATTCATTCGGTTTAAGCCAATAATGCTATGAACCTCGTTCATCAGATCGTTGAAAGTCATGTCTGGTCCAAGTGGCAATGGTTCCATATTTCCACCACTATACTAGACATTCGGTCTATCAGACACAAATTCACCCCCCCATCGGCATAACAAAGCTGCGTTTTGTGCAGCCATATTCTATACAACAACCAAAAACACATCTTAATTGCATGCAATCTCCACCAATTCGCACAATAACAACCAAGAAATTCACACTACAAACATAATTAACCATCATTGTTCCAATTCACATAACAACCAAAACAAAGTACACAACGAACATATTCACACTAACAACCAACGTATTCTACATAACATAATTTTCGTAATTAAACGACAATGTAAGCTATTTTATCAAATTAAAACAACAATTTCATCAACAATATCAACAATTTCATCAACATTTTCAACATTTTTACCAAACATTTCCACAATTTCATCATAAACTTTCTTACTAAACTAACATCAATTTAGGGCTTTTATACTAAACTATTATCAAATTACAACAAACTAACTTAGAATTATCAACATAATTATCAATTTACATCAAACTAACTTAGAATAATCAACAACATTATCAAATTAAAACAATGTACTATATAATTATCAAACTAACCTAGGTTTTAAAATTTTAAAAACAAATAAGTGAGAAGTACCAAAAATGTGATTATCAAGAAGAGGAGAGGCGCGGCGGCAGCAGGCAGTAGGCGGCGGCGACGGTGGCAGGCAGCAGGCGGCGGCGGCAGCGACGGCGACGGCAGAGCTTTGAGGAAGAGTGAATGTGTTGCGTGAGGAAGAGTGAGTTTGAGTTTTTAGTTTTGAGGAAGAGTGAATGCGTTGCGTCTGCCTGGAAGAATATACCAGGCAAAACCGCTGACTGAGGCAGCGTGTTTCTAGTATTAATGAAACGCTGCCTCAGTCAGCGTTTTAAGGCCTGTTATAGCCTAACACAAAAACGCTGACTGAGGCAGCGTTTTTGTGTATTTCAGTTTTTTTTTTTTATTTTGTATTTCACAAAATACATAATTCAAAACAAATTAAATAAATAAAAATGAGGAAAAACGCTGACCGAGGCAGCGTTTTACCTCAGAAGCTCAGTTTCGTAAATAGTTTGGCCACGCGTCTATATTCGTAAATAGTTTACTAATAAGGCTTAGTTTCGTAAAAAATCCTTATAATCCCATGTGCATAATTTTTTACATAGTTTGTTAATAATGTGAAGTTGTAAACTTTGTTTTATGGAGCAATAAAAAGAGTAGAAGGGAGCATGAATTAACCATAGATATGTTATACTTTGTATATAATGAGTTAAATGATGCATTGTTTCACATTGATGTATCTATCCTAGTATACAAGAAACCTCTTTTTTTTTCTTTTTTTTTTTTTTAATAACAAATACCCAAAATTATTTTTGCAATTTACAAACATAAAGAATATCATTTTTTACTCATTGACATACGCATAAAAAAAATTCTTTATCTGAGCATAAATTTGAATTTTTTGTACACCCTATAAGAAATGTGACCAAGTCGAGCATACCAAACATCTCCAGACTCCTTAGTACCAAACAGGAATGAATCGCTCCAAATTGGTGCTTGGTGAATTCGGCCTGGTCTGAATTGATATAACACCTCGTCCATTGTCTTTGTCTTTGTCTTTGAGAAATCTGTATTCAGTTTTCCATGACAATTACCTTTCACATGATAAACTCAATCAATTATAGATTCATGTTAGTCCAACCTAACTCTTAGTTAACTTCAATTCATCTTATTGACATCATTTAACTATATGTCATACTATGACGTAGTTCAATCCTATGTCATCTTAGAATACTCCAAATTATAATTAACAGACAATTCAAGTTTGGCAGGACAACTTTTATGCTACCCAGAAATGTACTAAATTTTTGCTGCTCTAAAGAGTTTCTTTTCAATGGCCTTTAATCTCTTACCATAAATGACCCATCTTTAGTCGATCTCTAATCTGTCATTAGTGTAACCTACAATTAGTGGTCACTACTCACATAAATATCTAATCGCCTAACTCCAATTTCGGCTTTTTGCTAAAAAATTACTACTATAATCTCGATTTAAACTCAAACTTATTGCTTAATTAAGTTAACTATATGATGCTACATCTGCCTAAACTCATCCTTCTGCCTAACTGGACAAAAAAATTGTGGTCATATAAGGCAATTATCATGTATGTTAAGTCATGATCTTGGTTTAATGGTTTTGTTATTATTTGTTTTTTAACTTTGTTAGATGAATTGGGAAATTTTATACTCCCTCCGTTTCGCATTAGTTGCAACACTTTTTATTTTTAGTCGTTTTATATTAGTTGCATCATTACTATATTTGGAAAGAATTCACCATTATTTTATGATCCTTCTCCCTCACTAACCACAGTTTTACAAATATTTTATTATTATTCTTTCCTACTGACCCCACTCACACTACTTTTTTTAGTTATTAATTCTATCTCTTACTTTTTTTTTTTTGAAGGAATTCTATCTCTTACTAACAATACTTTATACTTCGTATTTATAAGCGTATAAGCATAGTATATAAGAGTATATATAATTTTCTTAAAGTATGAGTCGAGCCTACTGTTACAACTAATGTAAAATGGAGGAAGTAAAGATGTTCTGCTTTACATTGTATGTGTGCCTCTAATCAAGGGATCAATTATTTTACCACTTTTGTATATGTTTTTTTTATTCGCCGTGTCATGTGTTTTTTGGCTGGGGATTTATGTGGC